GGGGTTGAATGTTCCCAGCAGTGGTATGGCACAGCACCTGTGATGGCAGCAGGTATTTATTTAGATACTGTAATGCACAAAAAAAAGTATAGACACATTCCTGAAAACGATACCTAGAGATTACCAGAAACAATTTGAAGAGGGGTGTTTTATTGGGGGTACAGGCATGTGAGCTGGGGAAATACGAAAATTAACGAAGCTGTGATCTCTTTTGCATCAATAGGCTGTGTCTACACTGTGTTCTTGATGCTGTGCTAAGCACTAGATAAAAAGACATGGTCCAATTACTAAGGAACTCAGTCTTGTTATCAGGGAAATGTAGGCAAGTAGACAATGTAAGAATCTCCTAGAACATTTTAATGTTTCAATTTTTAAAATAGAGATTTCTTTATTGGAGTTTGAAAAAGTTCATCAAACTTTGTTGGGGCGGTTTGATTCAATTCCCCCTACTTCCCTAATTTAGAAAGAAACGTGCGGCCCACTTATTTAAGTGATTTTTCCAAAACCACACATCTAGTTGTTTAAATGCACACCAGGGAGAACCCAAGTCTTCTAACACTCTAAACCATTCTTTCCACTACATCACAACACCTCACTTATAATTCCTTAAAAGGATGTCTCTATTCTGGTTTTTCATTCATGGTACGTGAAAAAAAAAAAGTGTAGTGAAAAAAGCATGGGTCAGAATCATACAAACCTGGGTCTTAATTTTCTGGCTAATTATACTACTTTGTTTAGCATTAAGGCTGATTCTAATAAAATAATTTAATGCTTTATAAGAAATTATGATAACCCTGTACTCTTAACAAGGATTGTACCTGCTTAGGCTTTGTGCTCCTGACCCTCAATTTTGTAAGACATTCTATGAATACTACTCAGCAAAGCTAACTAAAAAGAAGTGAAAATAAAGAATGAAAGTACTGTAATGAGTGTGGTAGCCCAGACTACTACTCCCAGCTACTAGGGAGGCTGAGACAGAAGGCTACAAAGTTCAAGGCCAGTTTGGGTTATTAGCGAGATCCTGTATCATTAAAAAATTTTAAAAGGGCTGGGGATATAGCTCAGTAGTACAGCATTTGCCTAGCATGCATTAGATCAACCCCCAATACTACAAAAAACCTATTGCCCCCCCCCCCCAACAACAACAAAAAAAAACCCAGAATGAAAGTGTTAATGCTAATTGATGACTTGTCATAGCAAATAGCTTTAGGGCTTACTTCATTGTACAAGAGTAATGACTCCTCTAGTAAATTGAGGAGGGAATACATAATCAAGGAAACCTAGTCTAATATATTTCCATGAGCTCTATCAGAGCCCTCAATCCCTGAATCTATTTATAACATTTTTTACATCTCTACTAGTGATTTTGATAAATCTGTTTCTCAAAAGAGAGAGAGAGAAAACAAAAAGGCTTACAAGAGAAACTATTGTCTAAACTAAAAACATATAGATCTATTTCTCAGTTAATTTATTTTTGAAGTTATATACAAATATTCTACTAGTAAGGCTAAAGGGGGGGGGGAACCCACCTTTTTTCAGCCCTAAAATTCTCTTTGCATTTGTTTAAAAAATGATGAATTGTGAAATGAAGGAAACAATGCAAAGAACCCAAGCAAGTAGTTCATTCCACATTTCAAGCTTCCTAGTTAGGGTATCTTGGTTTTGCTAAGCACTTAGAACTAAGTAACTGAAGAGTTTAAGTACCTAGAAAAGAACTCAGGATAAAGCTAAAAGCATATATTTCTGCATGTTATTACATTTTCCACTTCCTGTTTTATTTAGACAACTCATCATGACCATTTCAGGTAATAATGAAGAAGTTAAAAACCCAGCTTCTGGTGGGGCACAGTGGTGCAGGCCTGTATTCTCAAGTGACTCGGAAAGCTGAGGCAAGAGGATCCCAAGTTGGAGTCCAGCCTAGGCAACCTGGGGAGACTCTGTTTCAAAATAAAAAATAAGAAGAGCTGAGGATGTAGCTCGGTGGTAAGGAACCACTGAGTTCAATTCCCAGTATCGAAAGAAAGCATTAACAAACCAACTTCCTCTTTATAAATGTGATGAAACCCTCAGCAGTTAGTTTTAAGAATGAATGATTTTACTAGCTTTTTTCGTAGAAATGCTTGCAAGGAAATCAGAGACCATCATTCAACAAATTTACTTAAGGGTCCATTGCTTTCATGTAACAAAAATAAAATATTAAAAATATTTTTAAAAATTAAAAAAATATATTAATAAAATATTTAAAAATAAAGTCAGCAATATTAAAACATATCTGGCATCATGGCTTAGATGTCTTAAAATAATCCAAACCAAATACAGTTGAGTCTTAGCTAAGAGGGGGAGAAAGAAGAAGAGAGGGAAGGGCAGATTTTCAACTTCCTTTAATAATTCAAAATACAAATTAAGGATGAAAATATCTTGATTTTAAAAAATCAGTTTAATAGTGCTATGGTTTGTATAAATCTTATAGGACAAAAATCTCATTATTTACAGTTTATGACTTCTAAGGCATTCATATCAACAATTCCTGTTAGAAAAATACTTTCTCAATTTTTTAAATTCAGTTAAAAGGTATCTCAAGTGTCTGGGGTTGGGGCTCAGTGGTAGAGCACTTGCCTCGCATGTGTGAGGCACTGTGTTCAATTCTCAGCAGCACGAATAAATAAATAAATAAATAAATAAATAAATAAATAAAGGCCCATCAACAACTAAAAAAAAGGTACCTCAAGTCTAGAAGAAGGTAACAAGTTAGGAGAACTCATATAATCTTTCAGATTCATAGATATAAATAGGTTTCACCTCTGGGAATAAAAACTAACAAAATTTTAGTAACCTCAAATCATATGGATTTTTATAGTATCAGCTATAACTTAATTATACACCCTAAGGAAGACAATGTTGTTAATCTAAAAAAATCTTTAAAGTCAGGAACGGTAGAACATGCCTGTGATCCTTGGGAGACTGAGGCAGGGGATCACAAGTTCAAGGTCAGCCTCAGTAACTTATCGAGACCCTGTCTGGAGATTTTGCAAAGAGCTGTGGTTCATTGGTTAAGTGCCCTTGGGTTCAATCTCCAGTACCCCCACCAAACAAATTTACTAAATATGAATGAAATTCAACAACACTTTTTGGCATATTTACCAATTATGGTTTGCTTATTATGCCATTATTAAAATTAAGAAACAAAAGAAGTACACCAGAAGAGGAAACTGGTCCTGGATTTGTTATAAAATCTAGGCGATTAATGTTATTGATTAACACACTTAATATCTAAAGACATTTTAATTTGCCCATTGAAATACATACATATTTTTCCAAGTTTAATTAAAAAGGCATTGCAGCCCAATGGCAAGGACAAAAATCCAACATTGGCTAAATGTTATCACTTCAACACAATAAACCTCAACGTTTATTTTTACCTAAATTCCTTGTGAAATCTTTTGTAACAATTTTTTGCTTAAAATAAATGGACCATCAGTTGAGCTACCAAATATTTTATCCCAGAATTTTCATATAATTAAAATTTATATGCACCATTAACTATTTGCCTTACAATAAACATTATTGTTTTCTTTCCAGCATTGTTTTTTCTCTAAACCTTTAACACTTATGAGAATAAATTTCCAATAAGAGAAAACCTAATGATAAAGTGTTGTTTAATTGCTTTTAAGTGTTGAGTACCTTCTTTGGCATTTCAAAATGGCATGCCATATGTAGATATAACAAATTATTCTGTAGAGAGGACTCCCAGATCATAAAGAGTTCCCCTTTTCTCTCCAATCTCTATCTAAATAATATTAATAATAAGATAAACCTGGCTAGACTTACAGAACACTCAGGGGTGCATACTTGGAACTAACAGTCACTGTTGGAAACAAAAGACACAATTCTTGTTCTATAAGGAGTTATCTGGTGAGAATATTCTAATTTCTACAAGCCTTAAAATGCTGTATTTAGTAAAAAAAACCCTGACAAACTTTTAAGAAAATGTGTGCATTTGTCAGTGAAATAGTTATTCTACCTCACTTGGGTCCTGCTCTTGTACTTAAAGACACTTTTAAACAAAAAAGTATATAAATTGCACACTGATAAATCCAACAATAACCCAAGACACCACCATGGGGCATCAAAGAAGGCAGATGCTTTGTCCAGACTTGATTGTGTTAACATAAGGTTTAGGCACTACGTAAAACCTTTCTGGAGTTTTTTTAAAAAATTCATTGGTTATTCTGGATTGGTTAACAAGAAGCTGAGAACTATTTTTAAATAAATTATCGTTAAGACGATGCAAGATGCAAGGGAGAGAGTCACTTAGGGGGCCGTAGGCACATGCAAACAATCATGGGAGCATCTGCAGGGAAAAGTGGTGCTCAAATTCTGAAGTCAATGCCCAGAGGCTTACACATTTATTGTAGGTAGTTCGTTCAGCCGACAGTACAGGAGAAAATAAGTGCATGTGTAGTGAGAGGGACAATACTTGGAGACCTCTCCCAGTAGAAGTCATGACAGCAAAATCACTTCCTGAGGAAGGAGGAGCAAAAGGGAAGTTAAGAGTCCACCCTGACCAGGAAGTGACTCGCCCTAAACTAGCCCCAAACACATCAAAAAATGGGGGGATGGGGTGAGCCCCGACAGCCTGAGGCGGTAAAATACCTGCTGCTTAATACATCGCGACATCACCATCGCCCACTCTCAAAATTACAGAAAAGAGTCCACAGTCACAGTTCAATAAGGGAAGTCTCTTCTTATACAGGAAGGTCACTGGGCTGTGCCCCAGGTCCGGGAGGAAGAGAAGAGAGTGAAGGAATGGGGAACTGGGGACACCGTGAGGCTGAGGAAAGCCCCTTAACAGGAAAGCGTCCCGACTGCAGAGAGCGCATGCCAGCACCGGAAAAGAACCTTCTTTTTCCTGGGGATACAGCCAGGCTTCCCACCGCAGCCGGGTCGGGCCCCTGTTCCCAGTCGGGGGAGGAGGTAAGAGAGAGAGGCGGACCCCTTACCTTCTCCTCATCCGACACCCGATCCTCGAAGTCGGCCATCTTGGGCTGCTCTGGCCCAGCCCGGCCGCGGGCGCGAGGCAGGCCGGGAAGGAAGCTGAGTGATGGAATCACCGCAGGGGCCGTCGGAAGGACCCGCCCGGAAACGCCGAGCAAGAGGGCGCCATATCAGCTACGCGCCGAGGGTGACGGCCTCGAGCGCCTGTGCCCCAGGAAGTCGGCTTTGCCTTCAGGAGTTTGAAGTCTATTATCTTTCTCTCTCAGTTATAGTCGTTCCCCATTCATCTAATGGATGCTGGCAGCCTGTTTCCACTGTTCTTGGTGCCTGGGCTCCTTCCGACTAAGGAGCACTTGTGATTCCTTTAAATTTTTCTGTACCGGTGATCTCCATGGCAGCCGAATCCAAAGCGCTAAGAGCTGGTCGGCCCTTGAAAAGACCGGTGGCTTTTCCAACCCCGGGAATAGGGTGAAAGGTGACCCTCATCTCGTTTGGAAGCAAAAACCACTCCAGTGTGACATCTTAGTTCAGTTCCTCCAGAATAGGTGCCACTATCGGCCCTTCCCCCCCAAGGAAAAGTTAGGCCCAGTGTTGGGTCCTGCCCGCCACCTTCCACATCTTCTAGGTCCCGTTCCCAGGACTCAGCCTCTACCGAGGCCAACTTCAGGTCCTCCACTATCCCAGGATTCCCGACGCTCGGTTTCCTGCCCTTCTCCCCTCCCAACTCCCGGCCCCTGCGGGAGCGGCAAGATGGCGGACGGTGACGGCTGGAGTGAAGCCGCGACTGCTGCGGCATTTCCTCCTGCACCTGCTCCCGGCCTGAGCCCGCCGCTGGGCTGGAGGGAGCGGCTGCGGGCCGGGCTGGCGGGGACAGGGGCCTCGTTGTGGTTCGTGGCGGGGCTGGGGCTGCTATACGCTCTGAGGGTACCCCTGAGGCTGTGTGAGAACTTGGCAGCGGGTGAGAGGCCCAGACCTCCCAGGGACGGGCGGGGACCCAGGAGAGGTGTCTGGGGCCAACGCCAAAGGGCAGATAGGAGGAGACTGGGCTGCTCAATCCAGTGGGTTCAGTTTCTCCTGGGCCATAACCCCGCAGCTGATTGTCAAACCTGAGTTGCAGCTACCGACTCCTCCCTGGGCGTCTTAAGATCCGCCCTCTCCTGTCCTCGTTTACCCGAGGAAAAACCACCTGACAAGCTGTAAGGTTTTAGGTGGTAGGACAGAAGATATCACGACTCTCAGACTTGGATACAGAATTTATATACACTATCACCATTTGTAGTCCCTTGAAAATCGTTCCTTTGAGTCTCCAGCTGCCCAGCTAAGAGGGACCCACAGCCAGACAACAAAGGCATACATATCTGTAATACAGAGATCTCAGGAAATGCCACGGTCTTAGTCTACCATTCTTTTGTTTTAAAGTCGATCTGTTAAGAAATAGTTTTCGTAGTGTTTTGTCTTTTTTTCTTAAAGGCTTTGAGTAGTAAAACAGATCAGTAAAGGAAGAAGAGAGTGAGCTCCACAGACAGTAATGGGTTTGTTTGGTTCTTTCAACATTTGTACTGTGCTTGTTATTTAGCAGCCTGTTTCCACAGTTCTTGGTGCCTGGGCTCCTTCCTACTAAGGTACAAGGACATGTAAGAAACGTTGATCCCCATGGATTCTACAAATAACTATTCTTTAACTGTAAACAGGACGAAGTGGATGGGGCCCAGGGCATCTTACCATGTTATTACAACATTTCTTTTATTCGTGTTCCGAGTAGCAAACTCAGAACAAGATGGAAGAATTCTATTAAGTTATGACTTTGTCAGTATAATGGTTAATTTTTTCTATAGTGAGAGAAGGCAAATGTCTCTTTTGTGAGATAATGTTCTGAAATATTTTGGATATTTTAGAAGATCAGTATGATATAAATTCAGATCTAATTGATTACAAAACAAGCTGCAGAGCTAATTTGGCATCTGTAACAGGTGTATCAAGTGTTTAATGGTAGTTTGTATGCTCAGTGAAATGTTTTTCATTGTGTTTATCCTTTATTTTTCTATGTATTAACTAAATACACCATTTAGATGAGAATAATTCACTATTACAGATTTTTATTTTAAAACACAAAAAGATATACATAAAAAAGAAAAAGTATTTGAGACAGTTATTTGAATTGAAGAATTTGAATCAGGACTTCTGTAAGTCAGGTGCAGAGAGCTCTTAGTTTGTTACTTCTCTTCCTAAGCTATTTTGCCTTTTTTGCTGATTTAACTAATTTAACCAGAAACACACTGGATCTTTCCCTCTAATTTGAAACACTGGTTCATATCTAACCAAAGTAATTAGGGAGTGGTTTTAAATTTCCTTTGTGAAAGTGTGTGTTTATCTTCTTATAGATTTGCAAAAGGTCTAGTGTAAATTATGACTTAAAAGTACAGTGGTTAAGTTGGGTACAGATAGCATACACCTGTAATCCCAGCGGCTCCGGAGGCTGAGACAGGAGTTCAAAGCCAGCCTCAACAAGGGCAAAGTGCTAAGCAACTCAGTGAGACCCTATCTCTAAATGAAATACAAAATAGGGCTGGGAATGTGGCTCAGTAGTCGGGTGCCCCTACCAGTTCAATCTCTGGTATTAAGAAAAAAAAAAAAAAAGAAAGGAAAAGTACTTAAAGGTCTTTTGAGTATTAAGAAACAAAACAAAAACTCAGTGGTTAAAGAAAAATCGAAACAACAGTGACAACAAAAACTCAGTGGTAGAGTGCTCCTGGGTTCAATTCGTAATTTGCCCCCCCCCCCAACAAAAAAAGCTTGTTTTCTTATTTAGATTTCATATGTGTACTAGTGATTAAATATGCTAAAATATGCTTTGAATTCTTTTATTTATTTATTTTTTTTGGTATTGGGGATCTAACCCAGGAACATTTTACATGGTTTTTTATTATATTTATTTATATCCCCAACTCTTTTTATTATATTTATTTTGAGACGTGGTATCATTAAGTTGCTTAGGTTGACCTGAAACTCGTGATCCTCCTTTCTTAGCCTCCTGAGTCACTGGGATCACAGGCAAGCGTCACCATGCCTGGCTAAGTATGAGTCATTCTTAAAAGCATTTTAGGTTTTGTTTTGTTTTTAGTACTAAGGATTGTACCTAGGGCCTTGTACATGCTAAGCCTTATTTTGAGTTTTTTTCTTTTTTAACTAATGAACAGTATGAAATCCTAGCTTTATATGTGAGAATGTATTTTTTTAAAATATGTGATAGGATGGGAATTTATAGTGGTGATTTAAAAAACTACAACTTCTTCAAATGAATTTCATACTATATATTAAAACAGTTTCTGACTTAGATGGTTGGGTTAGGATTTTTCAACTTTACAATGGTGCCCATAAGGATTTAGTAGAAATTTTGAATTTTGATCTTTGCCTCGGTTAAGAGTATGCTTTTTTCAATGCTGGGCACCAACAGGGAGCTGGTCTCCTGTTAAGGCAATCAGTTGAGAGGATAAACAACCAATACTCCATAGTGTACTGTGTTGCTAAGCTATGGTCTAGTCAAATCACATGTATTATGGACTTAACAATATTTTCAATTTATAGTGAGTTCTTTAGGACACAACCTCATTGTAAATCAGGAGTATCTGTACTCCATATGTCCCTCCACTCAAAGACACCTGCATATTTGTAACTTAAGTACTTAAATTTGTGTGTGTGTGTGTGTGTGTTTGTGTGTTTAACTTTTATGTTTTTTCTTTTAACAGTGACAGGATTTTTAAATTCATTGACACCCAAATTCTATGTGGCACTTACAGGGACATCTTCTTTGATATCAGGACTAATATTTGTAAGTACTTTTTATTTTTTCCATTCATGTTTTGGTATGTAGCTAAAGATCTTTTATATGGTTATAATAATTGCAAGTACTTACATATCAACATTTCAAAAATGTGTTTGGTACCTAGTAACTTAAAGTTACCTAGTCAAACAGGTTTGGAGATTGACAGTATTTATTGCATATTAAAGACATTTGTACTGTAGTCAGGAAGTGTTGGGATGGGTTACAAATTTAATGTCTAAAGGACCCAGATTAGTAATAAAAAATGAATGTAATCAGCAGAGTGTAAGAAATTCCTTATTTACTTTGAGGACTGGGAACTTGCAAAGTGCATATTCCTTCTAAAAGGAACTGAAGATAATTGTTGTCATGTAGACTTATGACTAGAACATCTTCTGGTTTTATAAATGATTTTAAGAGAAACTGGATATACAGACTTTATATAAAATCTTTCGATATTTTAATATTAACAACTTAAGTAGACTAAAATTTATGTGTCTAGAATTCAGCCTATAGTTTTTACAATCCCCAGGTTTTTATCTGTAAATGGGAAAATAATGGTATTCACGGGATTATGAGAACTAAATGAGATGAATATATAAAACTTGTAACCATGGTAGTTGACTCAATAAGTATTTAATGAATTTTGGCTATTATTCTGGGAAGTGCCCTAGTTAGAAACCTGTTTTACTTTGATTCAACTTTTCCTTTAACAAGGTATCATTTTTTAATTTAAAAATATATGTTTAAATTTTATAATATCCATTGAATCTAGTGTTTTCTAATATACATTTTGGAAAACTGCTACAGATAAAAATCTTTTAAGTATTATGTCATGTGTGGCCCATGGATTTTTGTATTCTTTTTCTTATCTGTAGGTGGTGCTCTCCAGCTTTAGTAGAAATAATATCATTTGTATTGGACTTAAAAATAGGGACTGACACTATTTTTCAAAAGTAAATGTTAGACAAAAAAGGAATTTTTCTCTTGGTTCAGAAAAATTTGAATTCAGGAGAAAAAATATATGGTAATATAAGTCACAATTTATTGGTTGATAAGATCCACTCATAGTTAAAGCATATTTCGTCATATTCTAGCATATTTAGTTAATAGAATACATGTGAAATCTAAAATAAGAAAATAAGCTATCTTTTCTTTTTTGGTGGTATTAAGGTAGTATCGAACCTATGGGCTGAGCTATATCCCCAGCTCTTTTTATTTTTTATTTTTAGACAGGGTCACTCTAATTGCTGAGATTGGCCTCAAACTTAGGATCCTTCTAAGTCATTGGATTACAGGCATGTGCCACCATGCCTAGCAGAAATAAACTGTCTTTAAATGGCTGATATGGGGAAAAAGCATTGATTTCGGAACAGGATCTGATTTTGAGTATCAACTAGCTGATAACTCTGGGCAAGTCACACAAACTATAAAATTTCTCATTCCTTCATATTTAAAAGAGGGGATATCTTATATATTTAATTCATAGAAATATGATGTCTAAAACCATTTAAAAAATTTGTTGTTACTCTTTTTGAAATAGGAAATTCAAGTAACATTTTAAAGACTAAACTATGTCATTACCCTTGCAGTATTGATAGTTTTTTAAATTATTAATATTAGCAAAGGTTGTTGTGTATATAATTTCTCTTACTATCTGGACTTACATATACACATACATTTACATATATACATACATTTACATGTACACTGAGATATATTTGGGAAGCCATTTAATGTAATGGTTAGAAGCTCTAAAGTAAGACAGACCTGAATAAGAAACTCACTTCTGCTTACTTCCCAGTGGTGGTAACTAGAGCTAGTTGTTTGAATTTGGAATTTGTGTCCTCATTTCTATAATTAGTTATTATGAGAATTAAATGACATAATGTATTATAAAGGACTTGGTAAAATGCTTGGCTCATGGAAAGCTTTTGATAAATGTTAACAATTATTATTATCATTGTTTATTTGTGTTAAAAAGTTGATCTAAAAGTTCAGAAAACTTCGAATTCATATTTATTCATAAAAATGCTATAGTGAAGAACAGTTTATTTTTGTTCCCCTTGTGATTTTAGTTCTTGATGGCATTTATCCAATTTTTAAATCCAAGATTTATCCAACATAAATCTTGTCTTTTCTGTCACATAAACAGTTTCTGCTTGTGTAATTTCTTCTGATTGTTTCTTCTTTAAGTTTCATCCCACATCTTAGTAAAATATATGGTATAAGCCAAACCATGACCACATTTGGTGGGAATTAACTCCTTGTTAACTAGTAAGAGTAAGCAGAAAGGAAAGCCATTTTAGGTTGAGCATAAAACATTAGTGGCATAATAGAAAAAAAAAGGAGCAATTTGATTTTCTAGCACTTTCCTTTAAATATTGTAGCATTTAGTCAGTGGGCTACAATATAGTACAAAACAACTGCATAGTTTAGGCACACAAGTAGCTGCTTTATTATTTACTAAGGCAAAAATCAACATTCCTAGAGATTTGAACACTGGTGTGTGTGTGTGTGTGTGTGAGAGAGAGAGAGAGAGAGAGAGATACTCTGTGGTCAGTAATTTTAAAAAAAATTATAATCTTTTAGGCATTTGTAGATGTGTTTGTTTATTCTTTAAATGAGGTAATATGTTTCTCCATTACATTTAGCAGGAGAATAGTCTGTTAACTTTTTTGAAGGGGGTTTGCTGAGGATTGAACCCAGAGTAGTCAAGCCTTGAGCCACAATTCTAGCCCTTTTTATTTTTTATTTTGGGACAGGGTCTCACTGAGTTGCTTAGGGTCTAAGTTGCTGAGGCTGGCTTTGAACTTACTATCCTCCTGCTTCATCCTCTTGAGCTGCTGGGATTAAAGCCTTTTTTATTTGAGATAGGGTCTTGCTAAGTTGCTGAGGCTGACCTTGAACTTGTGATCCTCTTGCCTCATCCTCCTGAATCAATGGAATTATAAGCATGTACCACCACACCTAGCTGTTGTTTAACTCTCTTTTTTTTAAATATGTTTAGTTGTAGATGGACACAATCCCTCTATTTATTTATTTACTTATTTTTATGTGGTACTGAGGTTCAAACCTAGTGCCTCACACTTATTAGGCAAGCACTCTACCACTGAGCCACAACCCAGCCCCTGTTGGTTACCTTTTTAAGGGACATGATCCATAAATTACAGGAGGAAGATATTGAAGTAACTTTATAGTTGAAACATATAAAACTAGTTGTTCAACTGAAAGCCCCTGATTTATTAATGTAACAAATATGTAGAGAGCCTTTTATATACAGACATCCCTTCTAGATGTTGAGTATACCATGGTAAGCAGACAGATTCTGGCCTCTTGGAATTTGGTCTAGAAGGTGATTATTGATATTGATTCATTTGACAATTTTTATTGAGTGCCCACTGAGTGTCACTGTTTCAAGGCACTGGGCTTATAGCAGTGCATAAAACAAAGAAAAAAATCTTTGTCCTCATAGAGCACACATTATACTATGGGGATATTTAATAAAAGATAAAGAAGTAAAATAAATAGCATGTTCTTACTCTTTTTTTTTTCTTGCATGTTCTTATTCTCAGTGATAAGTGGTAAGGGGAAAAAATGAAGCAGAAAAGGGCATATAAAATGTGGGAAGAAAGTTGAAATTTTAACTAGGTTAGCAAGGAAAAGCCTCACTGAATGGTTGTTTTGTTCCCCACCCCCCTTTTTTTGTTTGCTTGCTTGTTTTTTGTTTTAGTAAAGACCTGAGGGCAGTGAGGAAGGGCTGTATGAAAAAAAAAAAAAAGTCTGCTTAGAGGCTTGAGGAATAGCACAATCATTGTAAGTGAAAAGATTACTATGAAAGGAAAATAAGATCTAGTGGAAGCACAACTACCTATTCTATTTTGTGGAATCAGGAACTAAGTTCCCTGAGAAATTGTAATTTAAGATGAAACACAAAGAACCAGACATAGGGAGTTGTGGAGGTTGGAATATCCAAATATGAAAACGTCTACTAATTCATAGAGAGCTTCTTTTGGTTGGTTCCTTTTTTTTTTTTGGTACTAGGCATTGAACCCCAGGTGCTGAGCTACATTCTCAGTCCTTTTATTTATGTATTTTGAGACAGAGTCTTGCTAAGTTGTTGAGGGCCTCAATATCTGAGACTGGCCTGGCCTTGAGCTTGCCATCCTCCTACCTCAGTCTCCCAAGTCACTGAGATTATAGGCATACAACAGCATGCATAGCAAACAGTTAAATAATTTATAAATTAAACGTTTATTGTTCTTAATGTTTTATTGCAATATTTTGCCTAAGCTTGTTAAAATGGAGCTCAAGTAATAAGAGTTCTAATGCATTCTGCTGTTATATATAAATTTAAAATAAATAAATAAATAAAAACTTTCAAAAAAAACTATAAAAATGGTATTTTACTTTCATATGGCATGTGCTTTTGGGGAAATCTTAGGTTTGTTTTCTTGAGGGAGGGGGAGTAAATGCATTTAAAATGTTGAATTGAACAGGAACATCTTGAGAGAATGTTTTAATTTGAGCTTATATATCTGCTGATCAGTTCTATTTTAAGTAAAAGATGTTTTTTCTTTGTCATAGATTTTTGAATGGTGGTACTTCCATAAGCATGGCACATCTTTTATTGAGCAAGTATCTATAAGCCATTTGCGACCACTGATGGGAGGAACAGAAAGCAGCATTTCAGAGTCAGGTCCTTCTTCAAGCAACAGCCAAAGTGAAACAAGCAGACAGAATTTATCGGGTAACTAGTTTTTTAATATGTTTTCACAGCTGAATAGTTAAGACTGAATTTGGCTTTGGGAGATAGAAAAACAACTGTGTGCTGAGAATGTTTATATGACTCTGGTAAATTCATATGTTGAAACCTAATCATCAATGTGATAATGTTAGGAGATGGGACCTTTGAGAGGTTATCATATCCTGAGGGTGGGATCCTCATGAATGGTATTATGAAGGAGACTGTAGAGAGCCATTTGCCCTTACCACCTTGTGAGGACAAAGCGTAACCAGAAGGTGAATCCTCACCAGATGCTACTAAGTTTGCCAGCACCTAGATCATGAATTTCCCAACCTCCAAAAATGTGAGACATGAATTTCTGTTGTTTATAAGCTATATAGTTTATGGTATTTTGTTACAGCCAACCAAATAGACTAAAATAAAGAGAACTTTATCTTTCATGTAAATAAAGGTGATCCATGGCTAGTGGGGAGAGCAGTGATCATCAGAAATCAGATCCCTTCAATTTTGTTAGTCTGCCATCTTCAAATGCAATTTTTACTTTGTGGTCCAATGTACTTTCTCTGGCTTTAGTCATCATATCCATGAAGCATTCAGCAGGAAGGAGAAAAGGCCAGGAGATGGACACTATTTCCCTCATCCATCTCATGGCAGGCAAGGATACTTCCCAGAAGCATTATATATTATTTCCACTTACTTTATACTCATCAGACCTTTGTTAAATGGCCACCACTAGTCATAAGGGAGACGAGAAATTATAATCTTTTTCTTGGTGTGTACATACACAGCAAATAATCAGGGGATATTATTATTTGCCAAATGAGAAATCTAGGAATTTACCATCTCTACCAAGAGAGCAAAGTGAGAAAAATACTTTTTCTCTTCAGTTTTCTTACAGAGGCATCAAAGTTTAGTTCCTCATGTTTGAATAGTTCATTGTCATACTTGAATTGTGGATAGTTCCTCTCTATGTGTCCAGTAATGGAAATCAAGTATTATTAATGATATGTAATTAGGAAAGTAAAGTTTTCAAAGCCAAATAAAAATGATATTTTTGGATTATTCTCATTTGGTATAATAATAATGATAATTTTAAGAAATGAATTAATTCTCTAAAATTCCTGTAATGTCTCATTTGTTCAATAAACCCAGTCACTAGTTATGTCAGTTTAGTAGAAAATACCGAGTACAGATCCTGGCATTTTTTTAAGATTTGGTCAGGTGAAGACCAAGATGAGTAGAGGTGGGGTTGGTAGCCATTTGGGAGTTCAGGAAGGAATAATGATGATTTTTTTAACTGTCTCTTTTCTCTCCTTTCATAAAATAATCCTAAGAGCAGTGTAGATTAAAATGAATATGATATATATATATATATATATATATATATATATATATATATATATATATAGATCTGTCCCAAAAAAGCTCAAAGTTCAGTATATGAATAATTATAGCAATAATACACAATGTGATTTTATTCTTTATTGTAAGACTGACCAAATCATTCAAAATGATAATGAAGATAACCTTAAAAACATTCCAAGTTGGTAGGAGATATAGACTTACAAATAAGTTGACAGCAAAAGATTATGGTTGGCTGCTTTTATCAGGTATGTATATAATACTGTAGTGACAGAAAAAAGGAGTAGTCAGTTAGTGTTCAGTTAGTTTTAGTGCCACAAAATGTTTTACAGAGAACAGGTTTGAATTGGACCTCAAAAATGAGTCAAAGTCTCTCGGGTAACTTCCTTTCATTCTATACTATTATTATCTTCCATAGACATATATACTGGGAGAAGCAATTTTAAATGTCTACTCACAAGTTTTAAGTTCCAGAGCCACATTTCTGACTCTTGCTAGACATCTCCACTTTTGATGATCCTAAGCACCCTGAACCTACTCTGTTCAAAATGAAACTAATTACCTTCTTCTAGTAGTTTTCCTTTCATAATCTCACAATCTATTAATGATATCTAACTTCTATACTAGAAATCTTTATTTGTTTATATCTCTTTTATTCCCCTTTTATTCTCCAAACAATTGACCCTCAAATTATATTGATTTACCCTCAAAAATTATCTTTGCTCCATCCTACCTTCTTTGATTTCAACATTTGCTATACCGTATTCAGGCATTTGATATCTCTTTCTGAGGCTATTGCTACAGTGTCCTAAACGATTTTTCTTCCTCTAATACTTCTAGTACATTCTCTCCATTTACTGTATTAAAAAATGGTTCTAAAACTTATTGGACTTAGGAATTTTAACACAAATTACTGAACATCTTAAGTAGCTTGTACTTTTTTATTGTATTCATCATTATTGTCAGACTAGAAATTAAGCATAAATTTCAAAAATTATTAATTTTAAAAAGTGACAATAAAGCCATTACATATTTCTATAGACTGCGTTATGTTCTCAAAATTCATACGTTGAAACTCCAACTTCCAATGTAATAGTATTTGGAGATAGGACTTTTAGGAAGTAATTAAGATTAAATAAGGTCATAAGGGTGGATTCTTAATCTGATAAGATTGTCAGCCTTACAAGATAGGATGGTGTCCACCACACAAGAGCAGAGCAAGAATGCTACTGTCTGCAAGCTAGGAAGAGAATCATCACCAGAATCCAACCATACTAGCATCTTGGTCTTGGACTTCTGCCTCCAGATTATGAGAAAATCAATTTCTGTTGTTTAAGCTACCTAGTATATGATATTTTGTTATGGCATCCTGAATTGAATTGATATTTTGGTACTAAGAAGTATGGTACCACTGTAACAAATACATCAATATGTATAAGTGACTTTGGAACTGGGTAATGGGCAGAGGCTAGAAGGGTTTTTAGGTGAATGTCCAGAAATATGGACATTCAGGGCAATTCTGGTGATATCTTAGAAGAAATTGAGGAACATGTTATTGGAAACCAGAAGAAAAGTGATTCTTGTTATAGAGTAGAAAAGAATTAGACTGAACTGTGTTTAGCATTTTATGAAAGGTAAAATTTGACACTGTGAAATTGGATATTTAGCTGAGAATATTTCTAAACAACGTATGGATGGAGTAGCTCATTTCCTCCTGAAACGTAAAAGAGGAGAGATTAATTCAAGAAGGAATTCCTAAGCAAAAATGAAGCAGAACCAGAACTTGATGATTTGGAAAATTCTCAGCCTGTCTATATTGTCAAAAATGAGAAAACTTATTCTGAAAAGTACTCCAAGGACATGACTGAACAGCCTTTTGAGATAATATGTCCAGCTCATGGACTTGACTTGATCGTTCAACTATCAGCAGAATTCAGGAATAGAAGTGGATTTATTCCAGAAAGGCATTGACAGTTTGTACTAATGGAGACAAAACAAAACCAAATAAAGGACGATATTAGACTGTTTGGATTCTGCAGGACTGTACCGTAAAACTACATAGCTGCAAGATACAGCCTTCAAAAAAGACCAACCCCTAAAGGGGTTGTTTAAGCCACATAATTTATGGTGTTTTAGTATGGAAGTCCAAGCTAACTAATGTACATGTTATGAAAATTATATTTCCCCAAACAAGAAAAAGCTTAGTCAGGAGACTAGCATTGTTTTACGTTTGTTCAAATCTCTTTAATGTCTACCTTAATATAGAACAGCTTATTTTCATATGTTTCTGCACTGTCTGTTGTGATGTTTTAATTAAAGCATATGAGGAAAATCTAGGCTTGCACAGGTACGTAGTTGGAAAGGGGGAGAATATTTTAATAGATGTTTCAGAAAATTGTGGATATTCTTTTTTTGGGTACTACATCAAAACTCGCTGAAGGGTGCTTTCTAAAATTGTAGTTTAATATGGAATTTGAACATTGCATTCTCTGTTAAAATCTGTTCATTTTGAATGGATCGTTTTCCCATAGTTTTAAAATATCACATTTGTTATTTGGAAAATCCTTTTTCTCTGTGTTATGCTTATTTTAAATGTTAAAACATTTTATTGCATAGCATAAGAAAAATCACATTTGTTAATATCACTACTAAATCTTACAAAAAAGTCTTTAGTATCGTGAAATTACCAAACTCACAGTTGGAGATACAGATTTTTCAAACTTTTAACGTTACTTGAAAAATTTTATCTTTCGCAGCCAATACTGTTAGTTTTCTTCCTTGAGGTTGACATCTTCACTTTTTCATTTTTAAGAAAATGTCTTTTAGGTACCCATTTGAATAATCACCAATTTGTCTTCTTGTGGATTTTTCAACTAAAAGTATTATATGACAAAAGTGACCAGTTCAACTTACAAAATAATTGATTTTATCATAGCTGATATAAAGTTTAAAAAGTTGCCTTGGGTCCCCAGCACTGAAAAGAGAAGGTTGGGGAGGGGAAGGAAGGAAATAAATTTGCCAGTGGGGATGCTTCTCAGTGTTAAGATTACTTGCCTAGCAGGCATGAGGCCCTGGGTTCATAGCACCAGGGAGAAAAAAATTGCCTTGTTTATACTACAGTGATTTGGGGCGAAGAATTCAATGACTGTTAGTACAATTTGGCATCACTGCCTTGACTCATGCTAAAGTATAATGGTTTGCCAGGTGCCACATGCCTAGCAGCTCAGGAGGCTGAGACAGGAGGATTGTGAGTTCAAGGCTAGCCTCAGTACATAGATACAAAAATTCTTAATAAAATAATGGCAAATTGCATACAAAAACATATTGAAAAGGTAGTGCACCATGATCAAGTGGGGTTCATCCCAGGGATGCAAGGTTGGTTCAACATACAGAAATCAAAAAAAGTAGTTCATCACATAAATAGACTTAAAAGAATCACATGATTATTTCAACAGATGCGGAAAAAGTATTTGACAAAATACAGCATCCATTCAAGCTGAAAACACTGGAATAACTAGGGATAGTAGGAACATACCTCAACATCGTAAAAGCTGTATACATTAAACCCAAGGCCAACATCATTTTAAATGGAAAAAAATTGAAAGCATTCTTTCTAAAAACTGGCAAAAGACAAGGATGCCCTCTTTCACCACTTTGATTCAACATAGTCCTTGATACTTTAGCCAGATTAATTAGATGAAAGAAATTAAAGGGATACAAATAGTAAAAGAAGAACTGAAATTATCCCTATTTGCCCATGACATGACTCTATATTTACAAGACCCAAATAATTCCACCAGAAAACTTTTAGAACTCATAAATTAATTAAGCAAAGTAACAGGAAATAGAATTAACAACCATAAGTCAATTGTGTTCCTATACCTCAGCAATGGGTCAACTGGAAGGGAAATTAGGAAAACTATCCCATTCATAATAGCCTTAAAAAATAAAATATTGGGGAATCAATCTAAGAGGTGAAAGACCTCTGCAATGAAAACTATAGAACACTAAAGAAAGGAATTGAAGAAGACCTTAAAAAATGGAAAGATCTCCCATGTTCTTGGATAGGCAAGATTAATATTGTCAAAATGGCCAAACTACCAAAAGCACTATACAGATTTAATGCAATTCCAATTAAAATTCCAACAATGTTCTTCATAGAAATAGAAAAAGCAGTCATGAAATTCATTTGGAAAAGTAAGAGGCCCAGAATAGACAAAGCAATCCTCAGAGAGAAAAGGGAAGCAGGTGGCATCACAACACCAATACTACAGAGCTATAGTAACAAAAACGGCATAGTATTGGCACCAAAACAGACATGAAAACCAGTGGTATAGCATAGAAGACACAGAGACAAACCCACATAAATACGGTTATCTCATACTAGTCAAAAGCACCATGAACAAACATTAGAGAAAAGGTAGCCTATTAAACAAATGATGCTGGGAAAACTGGAAATTCATATGTAGCAAAATGAAGTTAAACTCCTATCTCTCACCCAGCACAAAACTCCAAGTGAATCAAGGACCTAGGCATTAGAACAGAGACCCTGAGCCTACTAGAAGGAAAAGTAGGCCCAAATCTCCATCATGTCAGCTTAGGAACTGAATTCCTCAACAAGACTCCCTAAAGTGCAAGAAATAAAATCAAGAATCAATAAATGGGATGGTGTCAAACTAAAAATATTTTTCACAGCACAGGAAACAATAAAAAATGTGAACAGAAGCTTACAGAATGGGAGAAAATCTTTGCCACCTACACCTTATACAGAGTAGAACTCAAAAAACTTAACACCAAAAAAAAAAAAAAAAAAACAAATAACCCAATCAATAAATGGGCAAAGGAATTGAACAGACATTTCATAGAAGAAATATGATCAGTCTACAAATATGTGAAAAAATGTTCAATATCTCTAGCAATTAGAGAAATTCAAATTAAAACTACACTGAGATTTCATCTCATTCCTGTCAGAATGGCGATTATCAGTCAGAATACAAGTAACAATAAATGTTGGTGAGGATGTGGGGAGAAAGTTACACCTATACATTTGCTGGTGGGACTGCAAATTGATGAAACCACTCTGGAAAGCAGTCTGGAGATTCCTCAGAAAACTTGGAGTGGAACCACCATTTGACGCAGCTATCCCACTCCTTGGTTTATACTCAAAGGACTTAAAATCAGCTTACTATAGTGACATGGCCACATCAGTGTTCACAGCAGCTTAATTCATAATGGCTAAACTATGGAGGTGTCCTTCAACAGATGAATGGATAAAGAAAATGTGGTACATATATACACAACGGACTGTTACTCAGCCATAAAGGAGGAGGAAATTATGGCACATGCCAGTAAATGGATGGTACTGGAGACTATCATGCTAAGTGAAATAAGCCAATCTCAGAAAACCAAAAGCTGAATGTTCTGATATGCAGAACATTAACAGGGGTGGAGGAAAGAATAGAAGTTCATTGAATTTTAGACAAAGGGGAATGAAGGGAAGGGAGGGGAGATGGAAATAGAAAAGACAGTAGAATGAATTGGAGGGGGAATGAAAATAGAAAAGACAGTGGAATGAAAGACATAACTTTCCTATGTTCATTAAATGTATGACCAATGTAATGCCACATTATGTACAACCACAAAAATGGGATGTCTACTCTAGTTATGTATAGTATGTCCAAATATATTCTGCTGTCATGTATAACTAAAAAGAACAAATAAAATTTTTTTTTTTTTTTTAAAAAACCAGCGTCAGAAACTTAGCAAGAACCTAAGTAACTCAGCGAGACTCTCTTTCTAAATAAAATATAAAAAAGGGCTGGAGATATGGCTCATGGTTAAGAGCCCCTGGGTTCAATTCCCAGTACCAAAATAAAAAAAAAGTGTAGTGGTTATACCCACATTAACTTGATACTATTAGTTAAATTGTGCAACAGGATGGTAAGATAAATGAGTTGCCTAGGGCACAAAATTTAAAGATGCCCTCATTCTCAGGGTCGTATAACTGAGTCCACGTCAACACAAAGGCAAATCATGTCTCAGAATTTACTATGAAAACAGTTACTTTGCATTTCCATGAATCATACTTTAAGAACTGCTTTGATATTTGTTGTTATTCTGCTTATAATCCTTTGATAGCTTCTCACTGACTCAAGATTATATCTAGACTTTTTTTCCCACAATTCAATAAAGTTTTATTTTCCCTTTTTTCCTCTCTATTAGACCCTAATTTATTTTTTATTAATTTTAAAAATTTAGATATGACAGTGGAATGTGTTACAATTCAAATTACACATATAGAGCACAATATTGTTCATATCTCTGGTCATATACAAAGTACATTCACACCAATTCGTGTCTTCATGCATGTACTTTGGATAATAATGTCCATCACATTCCACCATCATTTCTAACCCCCTGCCCTCTCCCCTCCCCTCCCCTCCCCTCCCTCGACCCTATCTAGAGTTTGTCTATTTCTCCCATGCTTCCTTTCCCTACCCCACTATGAATCAGCCTCCTTATATCAGAGAAAACATTCAGCATTTGTTTTTTTGGGATTGGCTAACTTCACTTAGCATTATCTTCTCTAACTCCATCCATTTACCTGCAAATGCCATGATTTTATTCTCTCATTGCTGAGTAATATTCCATTGTGTGTCTATGTCACATTTTTTTTTAATCCATTCATCTATTGAAGGGCATCTAGGTTGGTTCCACAGTTTAGCCATTGTGAATCGTGCTGCTATAAACATTGATGTGGCCGTGTCCCTGTAGTATGCTGTTTTTAAGTCTTTTGGGTATAGACCAAAGAGAGGGATAGGTAGGTCAAATGGTGGTTCCATTCCCAGTTTTCTAAGAAATCTTCATACTGCTTTCCATATTGGCTGCACCAATTTGCAGTCCCACCAGCAGTGTAGGAGTGTACCTTTTCCCCCACATCCTCGCCCACACTTAATGGTATTTGTGTTCATAATAGCTGCCATTCTGACTGGAGTGAGATGAAATCTTAAGAGTGATTTTGATTTGCATTTCTCTAATTGCTAGCAATGCTGAACATTTTTTTTCATATATTTGTTGATTGATTTTATATCATCTTCAGACTCTTTAAAATGGAATATAAGTTCCTTCGTCAATTTCCTTCAGTCTACCTTTATTTCAGCTCTTCCTCCTACACCCTACCGTCTGCTCTAGCCTAAACATGATGTACAGTTTTATGGTAATTCCTCTGCTTTGAATGTGGCAATCTTCGACTCATCTTTTATGATTCAATGATTCAGCTTCAGTTCAAATGTCACCTCCTCCCTAAAACCTTCGCTGATTCCTCCAGAGAAAAATTCACTTTCCTTTTTTTTTTTTTTTTTGGTTGGAATAAAACAGGTCTCAACTATAGCACTTGTCATACAGTTTAGGTGATGGTTCATAATACTGTATTTAATTCAGTTAAACAAGTCAGTTCCAGATACTGTGGTAGGCTTCACAAACATAAAAGTGAGCTAAGATATCATATTTGAGAGGGGAAATTAAAATCCAAACAGATAATCAATCACATTTTAAATGGTAACTGACATAACTGAATTATGAACCAAACACTATGGAGACAGAAATAAGGAATGACTAGATTTAATTCTATGCTTCTTGAGAGCCAAGGTGATTAATGGTTTATTTGTCTTTGTATCATCTGTGGCTAGTTCTGTGCTTAGAATAACTGGGTAGACAGTGAATGTTGATTAAATGAAGATTTGACTGCATTTGTTTGAACTCTTTTTTTTCCCCCATGTTTTTCAGAATGCAAGGTATGGAGAAACCCTTTAAATCTTTTCAGAGGAGCAGAATATAGAAGGTACTACATTTTGCTTTCATTATAAGTAGAGTGAAAGTACTATGGAAACATTTGTTTTTATAAATATATCACAGTTTCTTCCAGTTGGAGATGTTGATATATATAATAAGGTAAAAAGATTAGCTCAAGTTTTTGTGGCAGCATCTTGACTATGTATTAGAAGCAATGCTTTAAATCATGTTTGTGATATGTAATAAGTCCCTTAGTTTATGTTAGAAAGCCTTTTTTAAAGAATTCTTGAGGTTAAAAAAAATTGTAGGTGTCAGCAAACTCCTATGCATATGTGCTCAATTTCAAGATTTCAAGATTCACTAGAAAACTTCAATCTGAATGTGAATATGAGCTCATATTTGAGCAACGGTACAGGATTTTTTTATTGATTTTATATTACCGTCTCCTCTCTACACTACTGTGTTCATTTTTCTTCCAGTTTTATTGTGAATGAAAAAGCATCTCTAGAAACTTCCAACTATTGATATTTGACTTTCATTTTTTAAAAATATGTATTTTCTAGTTTTAGGTGGATGCAATATCTTTATTTTTATTTTTATGTGTGCTGAGGATCAAACCCAGTGCATGCTAGGTGAGCACTCTACCACTGAGCCACAATCCCAGCCCTGACTTTCATTTTTATTTTGAGTAGGACTTTGTTTTACCTGGAGGTAGACTGGAGCATGTTGTTTAACTCACTGTACAACCCTACTCTGTGCAAAATGATGGAGATACAAAAATGCTTAAACAATAACCCTTCTTTGTGAGTACTTGATAGTGTAAGATAGAGGCATCCTGGAAAGTGAAAACTAGGCTTTTATGGGAGATGTCTTTAACCTGTATTAAGGGATTCTGTAAGAGGTCCTTGAACCTTCTACACTGTTTATTAAGTTATTGCCACAGTTCCTTGTTATATTATACAGATTCTACTTCATGAAGATTTGAAAGAGAAATTTCTTAGTACCAGAAATATGCTTCTTTTGAATGATTAATTCAAAAAAGTCTGAATTGGTTGATAATCATTTTGTAGTTCTAGAAAGTTTAAAGCCATACTGTAATCAATTCTTAGTAAATGCACTGAACTTTATGGTTAATTTCATTTTAGGTTCCATTTGTGTCCCAATTATTATTTTTCCTCTATTGAATCTTTTTAATTTACTTTCAATGTAGGTTATATTATACTTTGTATTTCATCTGCCTCCAATCATTTTAGGAATAATATGGATTACTAATTATTTTTAAATTTTTATTATCTTTTATGGTGCTAATGACCAAACCCAGGGCCTCATACATGCAAGATGAAGTGCTCTACCACTGAGCTATACCTCCAGCTCAGTATTTTCTTACTTTTAGAATGCGTAGCAAAACTTTGATAGATTAACAAGAATTTGGTTTTCCTTTTTTCTTCATGACAATTTTTTTATAAACTAAAATTTTAGGGCTAGAGTTGTAGCTCAGTGGTAGAGTGCTTTCTTCGAATGTGTGAGGCCCTGGGTTCGATCCTCAGCGTCTCACATAAATAAATAAAAGATCCTTTGACAACTAAAATATATCTGCTTACAGATATAGATATCTGTTTAGGGGGAAAAAAAAGCTAAAATTTTAGCAAGGCTATTTATTTATTTATTTTTGTGCTGGGGATTGAACCCAGGAAACTTACACACCGAGTCACATCCCCAGTCCTTTTTACTTTTTATTTTGACATACAGTCTCACTAAGTTTCATAGGGTCTTGTTAAGTGGCTGAGGCTGCCCTCAAACTTGTGATGCTCCCTTCTCAGCCTCTTAAATTGCTGGGATTACAGGCATGAGCCACCATACCCAGCTATTGTTTAATGGTATAAAATAACTTAAGAACTTTGATCATGTATAAATAACATTTAAAATGTTCTTTTCTGGTACTCAGTTTTTCTGTTTGTAAAATATATGCATATTCATTGTACAAAATTAAAAATACATAGATGCATAAAAATGAAAGTAAAAATCACTTTTCCACCACTAAGTGTTAATTGCTATTAGTATTTTAGAATATCTCCATCCAGTCTCTCTTTTATATGCACATATAGAAACAAAACTTTAACACCATACTCAAAGATATACATCCTACTTTTTTTCCAATATAACATTATGTGAATTTCCTACAAAATTTCTTGATAACATGGATTTCTTTAAAAATGTGATTTTTATGGTTGTATTTTTTCTATTGTATGCATGCATATACCTTACTTTACCCATAGTCTCTCCCATCTGGGTTACTGAGATTATTTTTCCACTGTTAGCATTAAATTGGTATATTATAAGTATGTAGCGACATCTATGATTATTTCCTCAGGGTTTATTTGTAGCACAGGGATTACTGAATAATAGGGTATAAACAGGTTTTTGTTTCTTCCCTTGATTTTTGAAAATCATTACTATGTAAATTTAAAATTTTTTTTAAAGGAGAGAAAATGTTTAATGGAATTCCACCTAGATGTAACTTTTTAAAGACTTTTGATAGATATTACCCAATTGATTTCTGAGAAGAGAAATGTATTCTAATTTGCATTTATTCCCATAACATACATATGCATATTCCACTTCATCCTTGATAACACATCTTCATCAGTTTGATAGGTGAAGAGTAAAACTTAATTTTAATTCACTATTTGTTTATTACTAATGAGATTTGACATTTAAAAATGTATTTACTAGCCTGGTGTGGTGGTGCATGTCTGTAATCCCATCTTCTTGAGGGGCAGAGGAAGGAGAATCACAAGTTTGAGGACCTTAACAACTTAACAAGAACAATCTCAAAATAAAAAGATCTTGGGAAGTATCTCAGTGGTAGAGTACCCCTGGGTTCAATCTCCGGTTTGGAAAATAAAAAGAGTATTTACTAGACAGTTTATTGTAGGATTGGGTGGGATGAAAGTTTATAATTTTACTTTAGTGAAATATGGAAAAAAAAGTTTCTCTCTCTCTCTCTCTCTCTTTCTTTTTATGGTATTGGGTACTGGTAATTGAACCCAGGAGCACTCTACCACTGAGATACTTACCCAGTCAGTTTTTTTTTTTTTTTTTTAATTTTAAGAGAGGGTCTTGCTAAGTTGCCCAGGCTGTCATCAAACTTGTGATCCTCCTGTCTCAGCCTCCCGAGTTGTAGAGATGGTAGGTGTGCACCACTGTGCCCTGCTCTGTCTATACACTGAAAGCCCTACACCATCTTGATATTGAGTAGAAATTCATCTCCTTTCTTTTAGCTTCTATGGAGTTTTACTTGTAATATTTAATTTTTATTCATTGAGAATTTATTCAAATATATTTAATGAGGTGTATATCTAACATTGTTTTATTCCTTCAAATCCAGTATTCAGAGCATTGTGTATTGAATAATTTATTCTTTTGATTTCCTTTTTGATGTTTTATTATCATATTCTTAATTAGTTTTTGTAGATTATCTCACTCATTTTGCTAAGTATAATAAATTTTAAAAATATCCTGAAATAGAATATAGAACTTGTAGTCCTCTATCTTTGGAATTTAAATAGTGTATGTTATAGCAGACAGATGCTCTCTCATGTCTAATTTAAATATTTTCTTGTGTTTTGGTTAAGATACACTTGGGTGACTGGAAAAGAGCCACTTACATACTATGACATGAACTTGTCAGCTCAGGACCATCAGACCTTTTTCACCTGTGACTCAGACTTTTTACGTCCTTCAGACACAGGTACGTCATATCTATTCATGGTGCAAACAGTGACTGTGAAAATTATTTGAAAAGTTCTTTAGAGTTATTTATTATAATATCCAGAGTTATTTGGGTTGAAGTTATTTGCATTATTGACAAGAAACTCAGATTAAATAATATTAACAGACATATTAACTCAAATTATATTAAATAATATAGTATTTGCAGTATGCCAGGCAGTGTGCTAGCTGATAGGGATCAAAGATGAAAGTATATTCCTTGCTCTCCAAGTTTCATACACTATTAAGGAAGACACATATGAAAGCCCTGGTTTAAGTAATTTGTAGAAATGTACTAATTTAATTTTCCCACTTTATGAGAGGTACTAGTATCAGTTTAGTTTTAAAAATAAAAGAACTGGTTCTGGGGATGAAGCTTACTGCTGAAGTGTTTGTCTAGCATGCATAAGACCATTGATTTGATCTCTAGCACTGCAAATAAATAAATAAAACAAAGGAACTAAGGCAAAGAGAGATCAAGTAGTATGCCCTAATCACACAGCTAATACATAAGGATAGGTTTCAAACTCCAGTTTGGCTTTTAACCACTATAATACTACTACTTCCACTTAACCACATTGATAGGTAGTTTGAAAAAGCCAGTTTCTTAGCACTGAATTGAGTTCATTGTCATGTATCGTCGTTGGATTAAATATATTAAGGATAGATGGTAGCAGGAATTTAAGGATCTTTGATATGGTTTCATAAAATATTTAATTTCAAATAGAGGTTAAAAAAGAATTGCTTTATGTTTATAAGTTTAATGTTATTATTAGCAAAAGTATGTTTTAGAAATAGGAGTAGAGTGTAAATATTATGAGTTAATTTTAAGGATTGAAGTGAGTCTGGAAATTAGCCCTCTCATAGTCAGAATTGCAAACATCAGTAGACTTTCCAAACAGCCTCTCTGACTGTCCACTAAAACTGTAGTCTTAAAACATTTCTACACTAAAACTATAGTCTTAAAACATTCACTATCTCCAAAAAGAATTTAAAAATTATGTATGCCACCCCCAACCAGTGCGGGCAGCTGAACTAAGATCACTCGTGTGAATTTGCAGGGACATAAAATAAAAACACAGACATGATTTACCTTTATACAAGCTTTAGGATGGCTTCCCCATCTTTCATCCTCAGGCTCCCCAAAAGGGAAAGCAAGAGAAAGTCATGAGAGGCTGATGAGAGAGAGGGAACACGTTTGGAAGTCACCTTTTGTTGGGGAGGACTCCTGTTCTTAGAAAGTTCTATTCATAAAAAGGCAGAAGGGGCAGGAGTATAAGGGAACAGGTGAGTGTAACTCAACCCTAGGGACATGCCCCACAAAGATGACCGTCTTGCTATCCGAGTGGTTGGCCAGAGCCTGAGGCATCAGGTCTGGAAGGCATGGTCCTTCTGTGTGGCTCCCCACATATGTGTCCTTTTACTTTTTTTTTTTTTTCTGGTACTGGGGATTGAACCCAGGGGTGCTTTACCACTAAGCTATGTCCGCAGCCCTTTTTATTTTTTGAGACAAGGTCTCACTGAGTTGCTTAGGGCCCTGTTAAATTGCTGAGGCTGGCCTCAAACTTGTGATCCTTCCTCAGCCCAGTCAGTGGGATTACAGGCATTCGCCATTGCGTCTAACTCAATCTTTTTAAAATTAACATTACAAGGTAAAATAATGACAAAGAATGTAATTTTTGACATATTGCAAAATTTTGTAGACATTAAAAAAGTAAAATTAATATGCTTTATTTTAAATATACATCATGGAGTCAGTTTATTTTTATGTGTGTGTGTGTGTGTGTGTGTGTGTGTGTTTTCTGGGATTGAACCTAGGACACATGCTACGTACTCTACTACTAAGCTACATATATTGCCCCAGATCCTGGAATCAAAAAATTTGATACCCACCTTATCTATTGAAAACTACATGATTAAACGTTTTCTAACAGTAACAAGCTTTTGTAAGTCCTTTTTCTTCTTAATGCATATCTATTTTATGTACTTTATAATTGTATTATAATTAATGCTTAAGTCTTTTATCATAAGCAGACTTTTCTACAATAAACAAGTATACTTTTTTAATGTAAATTTGGTCTGGGTTCTAAATAATGTGATATATTTTAATCAAAGTTTTGTCAAGTCCTTACAGATATATAACTTAGATCTTTAAACTTTGAAATATGTCCTCCATGAAACCTAATTGGATGCATGTCTTCATTTTTCAATCCTATTAACGAAACCAGACGCTTTCTGGTAGTGAAGTCTGTGACTTCATTTTTCAGTTCAAGTAAACATATTAGCGTGCATCTTCCATAATAATGTTCTCTTCTGAATTCAAATTCCAAGATGCAAAGATAGATAAATCTTGGAGCTTGGACTAGACCAAATTCCCAGAAAGCCAATGATATATATTAATAGTTTTATATTCAAAAGACAAATGTGTATGTATATGGGATGTGGCAAATTTCCCTGACTTATCATCTTTAGTAATCATTAAATGAGTTGATTTTGTTCTCATCTTATCAATTTGTTTATCTAAGGCAGAGAACAAGTATATTCTTGGGGCTAGGGTTGTGGCTCAGTGGTAGAGCACTTGCATAGCACATGTGAGTCACTGGGTTAGATCCTCAGCACCATATAAAAATAATAAGTAAAATAAAGCTATTATGTCCATCTGTAACTGAAACAACAACAACAGAAACCCATATTCTCAAGGGACAGCCAGCAATGTTTTTTGAATTATATGTTTTAATTTTCAACATTTAAAAATAAAGATGCTGGTCACAATGGCATGTACCAGTAGTCCCAGCTCTTGGGAGGGTGAGGTAGAAGAATCCTGTAAAGCCAGGAATTAAGGGCCATCCTGGACAACAGAGAGATTCTATTAAAAAAATAAATAAAAAGCAAAATTCACATTAAAATCTGATTTACACTTTTTGGAAAGTATGGGAAAAGTGGATCTACATTTCCACTTGGCAGTAATAAGCTAGAAATGAATTGTGGCTATTCTCTTCAGACAGTAAATGTGGTTTTAGTTCATTGTCATGTTTCCTACCTGGCCTCTGTAGACATTTACATATGTGATCCCTGTCCTAGGGATAACTGCTGGTCTCTTTTGTGCTTATTAGAATGTCAAAATATTTGGCTTAAAAATAGATAAATTTGAATGAATTACTAAAAGCTTTAATTAATTTTTTAAAGCATATCATGAGGTCTTAAAGAGAACATTTGAATACTAAGTCAACATTTTGCTTTAAATTATTCCTGATCCTTATTTTAGAAAAAAAAATGCACATTTTTTTTCCTTCCTCTACTTCCCTTTTCCCCTTAGAGTTAGGACTGACTTGGGTTATGAAGAATAATCTTGAAAGGCCAGATAGAGCATTTGAAAACAGAAAAATTACTTAAAAGTAGATGAGATAACCTCAATAGAAAAATTTAAAAAAAACCAAAAATGAGATTGTTTTCACATATTGGCAAAGATTGATAAGGCAGGTTGAATATTCCTTATAAGAAATACTTGAGACCATAAATATTTGGATTTCAGATTTTTAAAAATTTTTGAATATTTCCAAATATATAAGGAGATACGTTGGGAATGGGACTCAAGTCCTAACATAAAATTCACTTATATTTCATGTACACTTTATACACTTAGCTTGAAGGTAATTTCATACAGTATTTTTAGTGTACTTGTGTTTTGACTGCAAGAACATGAGGTCACATGTGGAATTGCCCACCTGAGGTTAATGTTCTTTATTTTGGAGTATTTCAGATTTGGGATTTTTGGATTGGGGATGCTCAACTTTTGTAGTTGGTTGTTAAGGAAGTATGGAAATTATCATTCTCCTATAAAGTGAGAGTATAAATTAATATGATATTGTTGAGAGGAATTTGGAGACATATGTCCGTCCAGAACCTTTTATTTCTAGAAAGGAAATATTTGATCAGCTATGCAAAGATAGACACTGAAAGATTGTTATCACAGTTCTTTGTTAGCAAAGTATTGGATATAACTTAGTTGTCCATCAAAAGGGAATTGGTTAAAGAAATTGATATGTACTTAATATACCTGAATATCAAATAACTCTTTAAAATGTTGGTAAAGATTTAGTATTAAAATTTGACTTGTAAACATCATATAACTTATAGAAAAGAGCCCTATCATCAGAAATAGCAAATCTAATATTATGCTCTATTTTTATGTAATATTTTAGAGTTTCAACAGAATAATGTTCTTTACTTAGAATCAAATGGATGCTGCCTTGCATCAATTTGTCAAGTTCAGGAAGCATTAGCTGCAGCTAGCTGGTGACATGTTTGATATGAGAAAAGAATTTTTTGTTACACAAGTGGAATATATTGTCTCCTTTTCTAAGCCAACACTAATATTTTCTTTCCAAGGGAAAAATCAAACATTTTCCACATTATTCTTTCTGGACAGAGGTGGGTTTTGTTCCAAAATCAACACTCATAGGTTCCTTGTTTTTCTTGTCAAACTTAAACTAAGCCAGATATCTTCATTTTGTTTGTTTGTTCTTTTAATTTTTAAGAAATGTTACTTAGTGTAATATCTTTATTTTAGTATAGTGAATGGTAGCAAAACTAATATGATTATTCCAGAGAAATTCTAGCTTAGGCTTTTGTTGAATTCTGCTAAAGGTGACATACTCCAGAGATGTATTATATTCTAAATTAATTCTTCCCTCTGCTTTTCATGCAAAATGCGAATCCACACATTCTTCTTAGAGTGAATCATTGATTAGACAGACTCTGTTTTAAGTTTTTGTATATTTATAGCAGTTCCATAGAATCTTTAGAAAATGATAAAAACAGAACTGGAATATTTCATGTTGATTATAATCTAATATCACTCAAACTGAATTTTAACATTCATTTAGATATATCAATATTCATATATAATAAACAATGAAATTAAACTTGTTAAGTACCTTATATGTTGTTATTCAAATAAATCAGAGAAAGATTATTTTATTACACTTAAACCTTCTATGTTTAATGTAAATTTCTCATAAAGTTAATGTGAATTAGAAACTCAACTTCTTGTTTTATATATTTAAAAACATATTATTTAAAGCTTTATTTACTCTCCTTGTTCATTCTTCATATATTTTGCATAAAGTTATTTATGTTTACCATCTCATCCACTTTTGAAATATTTTTCCTACAGTTATGCAGAAGGCATGGAGGGAAAGAAATCCTCCAGCTCGAATCAAAGCAGCCTATCAAGCTTTAGAATTAAACAATGAGTAAGTTTGAATTATATGGAAAATAAGTTTGTTTTAAAGGAAACTCAGGCAAATGATTTTATATTTCCTTTTGTCTGTTTCTAAGACCCTTGGAGTCATTATACTATTATACATTATACTATTATAGTTCCCTCTTCCTAAAGATAAAATTTGCAGTATTCACTGACATCTCTATTTTGTTTCTGAAATTTAAAACTTATATATGATTTTGAATAGAAATTATGTTAGAATTTTTTTTAAATGGAGAATGTGATAATACTATAAGGGTATTAAAATGCTTATGCCAGTGTTTTAATTTTGTTTTTCATTTAAATCATTAATTCAGAACATTCATTCAGTACTGAGAATGTCAGTTGCTAATGGGCTTAAAGGCATAAGAAGAGGATTCAAAATAAGTAAAAACATAACTCTGTCAAAATCCCTCCCTAAGTTAACAACATTTATTTATTTATTTTAATTTATTATGTATATATTTTTGACAGTAGAGGATTGAACTCAGGGATGCTCTACCACTGAGATTCATCCCCAGCCCTTTTTATTTTGAGACAGATCCAAGTTGCTGACACTGGCTTCAAACACATAATCCTCCTGACTCAGCCTCATTGGGATTACAGTTGTGCATCACTGCACTAAGCTAATAGAAATTAATCTAATACATACTAAATAAATGCCAAGAGTAAAAATATAGTCCTATTTGGGGTCACTCAAGGAATGTTTTCCCAAAGTCGTGCAAAAATGGTAGAGTAGTGAACTCCAAAAACAGTGAATAAACTCACAATCAAAATAATAAAAAAGTTTACAGCAATCTAGTGAATGTTAAATCAAAGGTGAAAATACCTATCGTCTTTAATATACCCTGGCCCGATCATCTACTCTCTAGCTCAGTGTTAACCTTGAAGACAGTAGTGCACATTGTAAGTATAGATCCATATCATTTTATCAAAGAACAGTGGTTGTTTTAACCTGTGTGGTGGCTCCATGAAAGACCAACTGAAAGGACTTGCCTTTATTTGAGTTAACTTGAACATTTCTCAGAACTGAATTAACTACATAGGGCACGTTTGTTGAAAACATTTAAAGGTAACTGCATTAGTCACTATTGTCTGAGGCAAGGGATAACAGCTGGGGCTAAAAACAGACAAGCTAGAAAGCTTATGAGGAAAGGCTGGAGAATGATACACTTTGGGGAATTAAGGCTCTGAAGAGCTCCCACATATACCTGGGAATCTCAAAGCCTTATGCTTGGTCAGAGTTGAACATGTGCTTAGAAAAGACTTGAAAATGGTCTGGGGTTGTGGCTCAGTGGTAGAGTGCTTGCCTAGCATGTGTGAGGAACTGGGTTCGATTTTCAGCACCACATATAAATAAATGAATAAAATAAAGGTCCATCAATAACTAAAATATATTTATATATATATATGTGTGTGTGTGTGTGTGTGTTGTGTGTGTGTGTGTATATATATATATATATATATATATATATATATATATATATATATATATAAATTTTTAGAAAAAGAAAATAGTTGAAAAGGCCCTGAGCTCTCATGTCTGGCTAACCTTTAGGTTGTGTGAAAGCAAGAAGTAAAGACTAAGGCACAGTTGAAAGATGCCTGGTATGCGTGTGCACATACAACATACACACAGCCCATCTGCAAAAACTCTGTTTTTTGTGGGATTTTTTTGAGTTTCAGTGTTTAAGGAAATCTCTGCCGAATCATTAACTTACTACTAAGCTAACAGAGCTCACACTTCATTTGCCCCACATGACTAAGAATGTGAATTTTATAAAATTGGTTCAGGGAAGTCATTAAACAAGCGACTACAACAAACAGCAATGACAGATGGAGTACAAAACAATCTTATTTCCAGAGTTTTTAGAATATAATAATCAGGGTTCCCCATTTTCAATGAAACATTATAAAGAAAACAAACAAACAAACAAACAAAAAAAAATATATATATATATGGGCAAAGCATAGGAAAGAAAAGAAATTTATAGAAACTGCACCTAAAGAAGCCTAGACTTGGGACTTAATAGACTTTAAATAAATTATTTTAAATGTGTTCAAAGAGCTAATGAAAACCATAAGAATGATGTATTGCCATTACATAATATAAATAAAGAGGAAGAGATAATAAAAAGAATCTAACTGGAAATTCTCAAATTGAAAATTCTGCTGGGAACAAAAAAATAGTAGTGAGTTCAGTAGTAGATTTAAGCATACAGAAGAATCAATTAACTTTTGTTATTTCAATTGATATTATCTAAGGAGCAAGAAAAAATAAATTGAAATAACAAAAGTTAATAAAGAAATAAAGAAAATGAAGTCTCTAAGAGAGACCTGTGGGACAATGTCAAACATACTAGCTTATACATAATGTGAGTCCTAGAGAAGAGAGAGAAAGGCAGAAAATAATATTTGAAGAAAAGCGTCCCAAAAGAAAATACTAACATATAAAATCCAGCAATATATTGAAAGTATTATATTCCCTGACCAAGTGGTGTTTATTATTAGAATGTAAGAATGGCTCAATATATAAAAATTAATCAATGTGATATTATCACCTTAACAGAATAAAGGAGAGAAATCATTGATCATTTCAAGTGATGCAGAAAAAGCATTTGACAAAATCCAACACCCTTTCATGATAAAAACGTGGAAATCAGTTAATCTAATGCATCACATTAATAGAACAAAGGATAAAAACCATGATTATCTCAATTGATGCAGAAAAAGTATTTGACAAAATCTAACACCTTACAGTCCTAATTTTTAAAATGTTATCATCATATATTGGTGTTAGATTTTATCAATCTGATAAAAAAGTATCTATGAAAAACCCAGTGATAACTATGTACTGATTAATGAAAAACTGAAAGTTTTCTAATATCAGAAATAAGGCAAGGATATCTGCCCTTACCATTTCATTTAACATAGCAGTAGAGGTTTTAGTTAGGTATGTTGAGCAAGAAAAAGAAAAAAATGTCATCCTAATTAGAAATGAGGGAGTAAAACTATCTATTCATAGATAACATTATCTTTATATGTAGAAAATCTTAATTGACACAAACAAAACTACCTCAGCTGGGCTGAGGATGTGGCTCAGTGGTTAAGTGCCCCTGGGTTCAATTCCTAGTACCAAAACAAAACAAAAAACTACTAGAGCCAATAAAGATTTCAAAAATGTTTGAAGAGACAAGCTCAATATAAAAAATGAGCTACATTTCTGTACATTAGCATTGAACAATCTGGAAAGGAAACCAAGAAAACAAATCTGTGTTAGTTTTTTATCCCTATGACAAAAAACAACTTAAAGGAGGATAGGTATATTTTGGCTCATGATTTCTGATGTTTCAGTGCATGGTTGACCTGCTCCACTGCTTTGGTCCTGAGGTAAGGCAGAACATCATAGCAGAAGGAAATGGCAGAAGATAACAGCTCAATTCATAAGTAGCCAGAAGCAGAGGGAAAAATAGGAACTGAGACTGGGAACAAGATATAGTCAAGAGCACATCCTCAAGAACTTACTCCCTTCACCTAGGTTCTATCTCCTACACTTTCCACCACCTCTCAGTAGTCCATTCAGCTATGAATCCTTTAATGGTGTAATAAATTGATGAGGTCAGAGCCATCATGATCTAATAATCAGTTCCAAGAACCCCATCTGTGAACATTACTGGGGACCAAACTTTCAACACATGATCCTTTGGGGGACATTTCAAATTCAGATCATAACATAATACCATTTACAATAGCATCAAAATTATTAAGATACTTTGGAATAAATATAACCAAGAATATGCAAGACTTGTATACTGAAAGCTTTAATACACTGTTCAGATAGTTAAAGACAACTTAAATGGAAAGACATCCTCTCTTCATGGATTGGATGACTTAAATATTATTATGACATCACTGTCCTTCCCAAGTTGATCTATAGATTCAGTGCAGTCCTATCAAAATTGCAATTACTATTTTTGCAGAAATGGACAAGCTGGTCCTAAAATTCATGTGGAATTGCAAGTGACTCTGCATAGCCTAAACAGTCTTGAAAGAGAAAAACAAAGTTGGAGGACTCACACTTCAAGATTTTCAATCTTACTACAAAACTACAGCAGTTAAATCATAAACATAGAAACCTAAATCAATGGATTTCAATTGAGAATCCAGAAATAAGTTGATATCTGTGGTCAACTGATTTTTGACCCAGGTGCCACTATATTCAGTGGAGAGCAAAGTAGTCTTTTTAGAAAACAGATTATGCTGGAACAACTAGATAGCCATATATAAAAGTACGAAATTGAACTCTTTACCTCACATATACATACCAATTAATTCAAAATTAATCAAGGACCTAACATGTTTGACCTAACACAGATCAAAATGGGCTGATAGCATATGCCTATAATTCCAGCTAACTCTGAAGGGACTACTGGAGATGTAGCTTGTGGTAAATTGCTTCTGGGTTTGCTCCCAGCACCTCTAAAATAGATAGATAGATAAGCACCTCCTAAATAAATAAGTAAATAAAGGAAGGAAGAAGAAGAAAACAAAATATGGAACAAATCTCCCCAACTTTGGATTTTACAGTGGTTTATTAAATAGGATCCAAAAAACACAAGTAATATGAAAAAAATAAATTACATTCATCAGTTAGAATCTTTTATGCAATAAAGGACACTATCAAGTGAGAAAATAGATTTATGATTGTCAGGAGTTAGGGAGACATGGATTTCTTTTAGGGGTGATGAAAATGTTTTAGAATTATGTAGTGCTGGTAATTGTACAACCTTGAGAACTTATTAAAAGTCTCTGAATTATACACTTTAAAACACTTTAAACTGTGATTTTGGTATGTGAATTTAACCTCAACTTAAGAAAATTACATTCCCCAAAGTAAGATTCATTAGATATTCATATAATTAATTTATTGCATTAACATCTTCAGGTGCAAGAATAAATACAAGAAGGCTTTAGGAGAAGAAAAACCTCTTCATACCATACAACTATAATGTAATTTAAAATTATCTTGAGGGACTGGGGATATAGCTCAGTGGTAGAGCCCTTTCCTAGCATTTGTAAGGCCCTAGGTTTGATCCTCAGCACCACAAAAATAAATAAGTAATAATGTTTATATTTTGATTCAACTGCATCAATTTTATCCATCTAGATCTTTTAAAAAGTATTTTTATTATGGTTATTTTAAAACATTTGAATTGGTTTTGGAAATGGCAGGATACCTAGTGTTTAAAGTAGCAGTATATCTAATATTTTAGAGAAATCCACGTAATATATAGGAGATATTATTGCTGGTTAGTGAAATTATTGAATACTTTAATTTAGACTATTATTTGCCTAAATGGTATGATTTACATTTCCATCTGAAAGACTCTTCTCAACCTTAATTGATGGTAATAGTTATCTGGCCATCACTTTTGTTTCATGCCTGCACTTGTACTTTTTACCAATAGTGTCTCTCATCTTGTTGAGATAAACACTGTTCTATTGAAACATTTTTAATATTTTTCTCAGTCTTCAAATTTCTGTGTGCGTTTTACACTTATGTCACATTTCAGTTCAGACTAGCCATGTTTTAAGTGCTCAGTAAGTATATGTGACTACTGACTGTTCTGGATAGTGTAGGCTTATATTATCAGAACTAAGACATGGTCCCCAAAGAGAGGTACTTGTTATTTCTGGAAATGAAAAGGGAAACTTTAAGTAGGTGCAGTGGCACACGGCCCTATAATCCCAGTGACTTGGGAGGCTGAGGAAGGAGAATTGCAGGTTCAAAGCCAATCTCAGCAATATAACAAGGCTCTGTCCCAAAAAGAACTAGGGATGTGGCTTAATGGTTAAGTAACCCTGGGTTTAATCCCCAGTACCAAAATAAGAAAATGGAAACTTTTTCCTTCTCTTCTTTTATCCAAAAATAAGAATGAATTTATGTTATTAGCCAGTCATTGACTGGCTAATACAAAGAAAAATCTGTTTTAGTAGGGTGAATAAAAGAAAACTTGAGGTAAGCATGGGTATAAGGAATGAGGGTAGGAGTTTGAAGGAAGAACTAGAATTCAGACCAAGGGAAGTATGCTGCATTCTACTGTGCATAAGTCCAAGGGAGGATAGAGCCACATGCAGAGGGAATACTCACGTTTGAAGGAAAAGCCTAGTCCTGAATGTTTTTTTGAGTCAGATATGAAAGGTGTCTCTTTAGCATAGAGACCCTCTTCCCAAACTTCACTGTCTTTCATAGCTGCCCACAGGAGTTGGATATTACAGAATATGTAGTGACTAAGAGCAAGTCTGATCACTGTAGTATATGGTAGCCAGAACTACTTTTCATACAATTCTTTATATATCTTCCTTTTTCTCCCCTTGTACAAAAAGAAAACACAGAGTCAGACCATGGAGGTAAAAAAGAAGAAAGAATAGAAGAGAAACATAAGAGACTGAAAAAAATTGTGGAATTAGACATAATGAATATACTAGTATGTCCCCAAGAAATTAAAACATCTAATAAAGTTGGTTTTTGTTTTTGTTTTTTCCCCCAAGAGATGGAAAGTATAGGTAAAGCTAAGGGAAACTTGGTTTAGAGCAAAAGGACATACCCAAGAGAAAATACTTGCCCTTACAGTTTTATTTCAAATTGCTTTGCTTGCTTTTTTTCATAGCTGTGCCACTGCATATGTTCTACTGGCCGAGGAAGAAGCAACCACTATTGTAGATGCTGAAAGGTTATTTAAACAGGCACTCAAGGCAGGAGAAACAATTTATAGGCGATCACAGCAGTGCCAGCACCAGAGTCCTCAGCATGAAGCTCAACTGAGTAAGCAAATTTGAACTGATTTTTACTGTCCTTTTTTTTTTGTTATTCTGAAAATCTTTATTTGTGCCTTATATCCATAAGAACCCCCCCCCCCAAGCTACCTTTCTCTCTTTGGTCTATGTTTTATTTCTCTGATTTTTTTTTTAATTTTTTATTGTTGGTTGTTCAAAACATTACATAGTTCTTGATATATCATATTTCACACTTTGATTCAAGTGGGTTATGAGCTCCCATTTTTACCCCATATACAGATTGCAGAATCACATCAGTTACACATCCATTGATTTACATATTGCCATACTAGTGTCTGTTGTGTTCTGCTGCCTTTCCTATCCTCTACTATCCCCCCTCCCCTCCCCTCCCCTCTTCTCTCTCTGCCCCCTCTACTGTCATTCATTTGTCCCCCTTGTATTATTTTTCCCTTTCCCCTCACTTCCTCTTGTATGTGCTTTTGTATAACCCTGAGGGTCTCCTTCCATTTCCATGCAATTTCCCTTCTCTCTCCCTTTCCCTCCCACCTCTCATCCCTGTTTAATGTTAATCTTCTTCTCATGCTCTTCGACCCTACTCTGTTCTTAGTTACTCTCCTTATATCAAAGAAGACATTTGGCATTTGTTTCTTAGGGATTGGCTAGCTTCACTTAGCATAATCTGCTCTAATGCCATCCATTTCCCTGTAAATTCTATGATTTTGTCATTTTTGAATGCAGAGTAATACTCCATTGTGTATAAATGCCACATTTTTTTTATCCATTCGTCTATTGAAGGGCATCTAGGTTGGTTCCACAGTCTTGCTATTGTGAATTGTGCTGCTATGAACATCGATGTAGCAGTGTCCCTGTAGCATGCTCTTTTTAGGTCTTTAGGGAATAGACCGAGAAGGGGAATAGCTGGGTCAAATGGTGGCTCCATTCCCAGCTTTCCAAGAAATCTCCATACTGCTTTCCAAATTGGCTGCACCAATTTGCAGTCCCACCAGCAATGTACAAGTGTACCCTTTTCCCCACATCCTCGCCAGCACTTGTTGTTGTTTGACTTCATAATGGCTGCCAATCTTACTGGAGTGAGATGGTATCTTAGGGTGGTTTTGATTTGCATTTCTCTGACTGCTAGAGATGGTGAGCATTTTTTCATGTACTTGTTGATTGATTGTATGTCCTCCTCTGAGAAGTGTCTGTTCAGGTCCTTGGCCCATTTGTTGATTGGGTTGTTTGTTCTCTTATTGTCTAATTTTTTGAGTTCTTTGTATACTCTGGATATTAGGGCTCTATCTGAAGTGTGAGGAGTAAAGATTTGTTCCCAGGATGTAGGCTCTCTATTTACCTCTCTTATTGTTTCTTTTGCTGAGAAAAAACTTTTTAGTTTGAGTAAGTCCCATTTGTTGATTCTAGTTATTAACTTTTGTGCTATGGGTGTCCTATTGAGGAATTTGGAGCCTGACCCCACAGTATGTAGATCGTAGCCAACTTTTTCTTCTATCAGACGGCGTGTCTCTGATTTGATATCAAGCTCCTTGATCCATTTTGAATTAACTTTTGTGCATGGCGAGAGAAAGGGATTCAGTTTCATTTTGTTGCATATGGATTTCCAGTTTTCCCAGCACCATTTGTTGAAGATGCTATCCTTCCTCCATTGCATGCTTTTAGCCCCTTTATCAAATATAAGATAGTTGTAGTTTTGTGGATTGGTTTCTGTGTCCTCTATTCTGTACCATTGGTCCACCCGCCTGTTTTGGTACCAGTACCATGCTGTTTTTGTTACTATTGCTCTTCAGTATAGTTTGAAGTCTGGTATTGCTATACCGCCTGATTCACACTTCCTGCTTAGCATTGTTTTTGCTATTCTGGGTCTTTTATTTTTCCATATGAATTTCATGATTGCTTTCTCTATTTCTACAAGAAATGCCGTTGGGATTTTGATTGGCATTGCATTAAACCTATAGAGAACTTTTGGTAATATCGCCATTTTGATGATGTTAGTTCTGCCTATCTATGAACAGGATATATTTTTCCATCTTCTAAGATCTTCTTCTATTTCTCTCTTTTAGCACCTATAATTGGATCTTGCTTGTTTAAAACACAGACCACCAATAATAAAAACAGTGCTTGTAGATTAGCTAAATTTTACTTAACTAATTTATTAATACGTATAAGCCAGTAAGACAGAAATACGTAATAGCCAGAAAGAGCTTGTGAAAAGGATTAAATTTGCTCTGGTTATTGAAAGGAAATATGCTGTTTTGAGACTTAATGGTAATTTATTTCATATAAGAATTGAACACCTGGTTATTAGAGAAACATAAATATAAAACTATTTAGTATTTAGGAGAGCATTCTCGTGATTATTAGTATTGATTGAGAAGATCCTTTTGATGGTATTTTCTTTATCTTCATCCTTACTCAGTAATAGAGGCTTTTTTTTTTTTTTTCTGCTGCTGGGGTCAAACCCAGAGACTCGCACATACAAGGCAAATACTGAATCCTTGAGTTACATCCCCAACCCAGGACATCATTTTGTTTGCTCTTCAGACTCTGTTATCTATATATAGCATCAAGGAGTGGCTCTGATTATTATTATTATTTTTTTTTTTTTTTTTTTGGAACTGGGGATTGAACCCAGGGTTGGTTTACCACTGAGTTATATCCCCAGTCCTTTTTATTTTTAATTTTGAGATAGGGTCTCACTAACTTGCTGAGGCTGACCTCAAACTTAAAATCCTCTTGCCACAGTCTCCCAAATTGCTGGGATTACAGGTGTTCACCACCACATCCAGTCATACCATCTGATTCTTAACATAAAATCCAACCTTATATGTAACATTGGTTCTTTCTTTGGTTAATTTTTTTTCCTGTGATTGTGTTTGGGATCAGATTAGCCACAACAACTGAAGTCTTTCCATTCCTTTTTTTTTTTTTTAATTTGTTCTTTGACAGTAGAGTGTATTTTGACATATCATTCATAACATGGAGTATAATTTCCCATTTTTGTGGTTATATGTGATGTGAAGTTATACTGACTGTGTATTCATATTTAAACATAGGAAAGTTATGTCCAATTCATTATCCCATTCCCATCTCCCTTCCTTCTGTCCATTTCAGTGAACCTCCACTCCTCCTTCCCCACTATCATTGTGGATCAGCAATCTATATATCAGAGAGAACATTCAGCCTTTGGGTTTTTGGGATTGGCTTATTTCACTCAGCATGATAGTCTCTAGTTTCATCCATTTACTGGCAAGTGCCATAATTTCCTCCTCCTTTATGGCTGAGTAACAATCCAATGTACTACATTTTCTTTATCCATTCATCTTTGAAGGGCACCTAGGTTTGTTCCATAGCTTGGCTATTGTGAATTGAGCTGCTGTGAACATTGATGTGGCCACATCACTATAGTATGCTGATTTTAATTCCTCTGGGGATATGCCGAGGAGTGTGATAACTGGGTCAAATGGTCTCTCTAATCTTTAACGATACTCTTCTGATTATGATTGAGATACTTTACCAGAGATGTTAGAATTAGGAATGTTGCTCCTGCTTGTTACCTTTTATGGCCAGAGGATTTTAGTTTTATGATTTGGGTGGATAACAGAAAGTAAATGAAATATGTTTATGTAATGCATTATCCGTTAGCAGTTAAGTTCTAAATCTTTTGTTTGTGGAAATTAAAAGTTAGATAATGTTTTCTCTCCAAGTTAAATATGATGTTTACAGTATGTTTCATTAATGTATGTTATTACACACAACTGCAGGAATATTTAGCTTTGCAGACTGGAACTTATGAAACTACGTCTGTAATAAAGTCAACTCGGGGTCAAGCAGAAGGATCACAAATTTGAGGGCAAACTAGGGCAACTTAGTGAAACCCTGTCTCAAAACAAAAAATAAAAAGGGCCAGGGATGTAGGTCAGTGATAGAAAATTTTCCTACCATGTGAGAGCTCTGGATTCAATCCTCAATACTGACCAAAACAAAAAACATGCCATTTGTCTTTACATAATATAAAATTAAAATTAAACATGTTACAGAATTTTGTTAGTCCTTCTTAGAAGTAGTTTTATAGTTTGTTATTAGTTGTTAATAAAAAGTTTACATTAGTCATAGAAATTGTACTTTGAACATTTTGAGTTTTTCAGTTAAAAAAATAGAGAATATTAAAACTATAGATTATTTATGCAGAAACTTAAAATAATAGGCTAGTGTTATATTTTCCCTTTAATATATGTATTTCTTTTCCAGCAATATTAAATTAAATTTGTTATTCAAACACAAATTACATTCTATATACTGTACTCAGATTACTTACTATTAGAGGCAAAAGTAATTCAACATATATTTTAAACATTTAGGGGCTGAGGATATAGCTCACTTGGTAAAATGCTTGCCTCCCAGGCACAAGGTCCTGGGTTCAATCCTCAGCACCACACACTCACACACACACACACACACAAAATATATATATATATTTTTGTGTGTGTGTGTGTGTGTATAATATAAATTTTTAACACATAAAACTTCAAGCATAAACAAATGTAAGAGATTCCTATTCAAAATATTCTTCACCCAGATTCAGTAATCATTAAATATTCTTCCATCTTGACACAATTTAATTTTAATTGAATCTTGTAGGATAAGCAATTAAGAAATAATATTCTAGTGAAATAACAGGCCATAATATGAAAGTAATATTGTGTTACTTTTTGTTTTTTTATATAGGGAGAGATACCAATGTGCTAGTATATATTAAAAGAAGATTGGCAATGTGTGCAAGAAAATTAGGAAGAATAAGAGAAGCAGTGAAAATAATGAGAGATGTAAGTAAGTTTGATAACTGAAACTGTTATATGGATTCCTCTAAAAATAAAATGTAGTTGAAGTTACCAGTTATTTTGATACAGAATTACTGTTTTTTAATTGGTGGGTTTTATAATGCTATTTATTTAATACACATACTTTTTTTAAAATCTGTTTTTTAGAGTTGTAAATGGACAGAATGCCTTTGTTTATTTTTATGTGGTGCTGAGGATCAAACCCAGTGCCTCACACATGCTAGGCAAGCATTCTGCCACTGAACTACAGCCCCAACTCCTAATATACATACATTTTTTAAGGACTGAGTCTCTACAGTTTTGTAAAGAAGCAAAAGAATTTCAACTTTAGTGAAAGTTCCTCTGTTCTAATTTTAATCTCTTTTTTTTCTTTCAATATACAGTTGATGAAAGAATTTCCTCCTCTTACCATGTTGAACATCCATGAAAATCTCTTAGAATCACTTTTAGAATTACAGGCCTATGCAGATGTTCAGGCAGTCCTAGCAAAATATGATGGTGAGTTTTTTGTCTTAATTGATAGTATGTTAAAGGATTTTCTTTTAAATTATGTATTCATAAATATGATACCATTCTAGTATTTCTCTAATTTTCTCTATTCTTACCAGTCAGTATTTAGTATGTGTAAGTACAAATTGCTATTAAGTATCTTTTTTTATCAGGACTTTTGGTAGCAAAAGCCTATAAGGAGGAACTTTTTCTTCTGTCAAGATTTATTCTTTTGGGCTGGGGATGTAGCTCAGTTGGTAGAGTGCTTGCCTTGTACAAACAAGGCTCTGGGTTCGATCTCCAGCACCACCACCAAAAGAAAAAAAATTTGGTTTATTGAGTGTCTAATAGGAATGAAGCACTTTGGAATAAAATGTGAACAAGAAGAAATGGATTTCATCATCGTAGGATTTACAGTTTATTGAAATGTATAAACAAATGAACATTGGTTACATTGAAGACAGCATGACTTGCATGAGATAATTGGAAAAGTGTAAATGCTGTGCACATAGTAGGGTGCCTCTTTTTTATACTCGTTTGAATATCAAGGAAAGCTAACAGAAGTTGCTTAACAGTATTTATAAAGACTAATTCAGAAACCACATATGGGGTTGCATGTCTATAATCCTAGCTACTTGGAAAGCTGAGGCAAAAGGATCACAAATTTGAGGCCAGCCTGAGTAACTTAGCAAGACCGTGTCTGAGAATAATAAAAAGCACAATAAAGGTACGGGGGGCTAGGGTTGAGGCTCAGTGGTTGAGTGCTTGCCTAGTATATGTGAGGCACTGGGTTTGAGCCTCAGCACCACATAAAGATAAATAAATAAAGATTAAAAAAAAAGATTTAAGTTAAAAGAAAAAGCATGGGGATGTAGCTCAGTAGTAAAGGCTTCTAGGTTTAATTCCTAATTCCTAAAAAAAAAAAAAAAAAAAGGGGATCCAACATGGCGGCCAGCGAGGAAGCAGCACTTTCAGTATCTCCACATTAACCGGATCAGAAAGACCCATTAATACACCTAAATTCTACCTACTGAGGAACTTCTAGCAAAATTCTGCTGAAAGGAGACCTGCTGGGAATTAGTAAGTTTATTAGAGGTGACAGTTTGTCCCAGACGAGTGAATCTTGACCACGCGGCGCAGAGGTCCAGTCCCGCGGCCGCCGCCTGCCCGGCTCTGCAAGTGGCCTCTGGCGGCGCAGTGAGAAGGGTCCCCGCGAGGCCCGGCAGATGGCCCCCTGCCCTCCCAGCTCTGCTGACGGCCCCGCCTGCACGGGCCCCCCACCCGCAGGGCGAACGGCCCCGCCCGCCCGGCTCAGGACGCGTAATGAAGGGAATCTAACCAAGCCTTTATGAAATAGCGAACTGGGAACTAAAACCAGAGATTGAGTCAGACCAGAGATAAGCCAGTTCCACCCCTCCCTTCGGATACTCCGGCAAGGAGCCAGGGGCCCGCCATAGCAGAGAGGGGAAGTCACCAAAGTTCGGCCAACGAGATTCCTTCCCAGCGGAATCTACTTTAGCAGGTGTGTGACTCCCACCCACATCAGATACAAACAACCGGGAAACTTCAAAAATCTCTCCGTGGGCGCGACCGTAAGGGCCAAGGGACTCCCGACCCCCAACTCCCCCTAATGCCAGTGACGTGGGCATGACTGTAGGGGCGGAGGGAAGCAGAGAAGACTCCCCACCCCGAACTCCCCCAACCGCCAACTGAGAGGGTGTGATGGTAGGGGCGGAGGGAAAAAGAGGACACTCCAGACCCCCAACTCCTCCTACCGCCAGCGGAGTGGTCGTGATTGTAGGGGCTGAGGGAAGCAGAGGGGATCCTCGATCCCCAACTCCCATTACCACCAGAGGCAATACCAAAGGTCTTAGCCGCCAGCTTCCGAGGGTGTGCCCACCAAAGGGGTCCGGAAAAATTAAACTATTGACTCCCAGACCACAGCTCCACAGCACTGGGGCTTAGATGAATGACAGAGAGAGTGCTCAGTTGTTCGGGAAATAGGGCACGCGGTGGGGCTGAAAGTGTAACCAGATCCCTGGGGAACCACCTCCGGTGAGCAGGACCAGGCTGGCTGGCAGGAGGAAGGGGAGGAGGGGCTGTAGAAGTGAAACGGCTCTGGACCAACAGGATTAAGAGACTGTCGACACATTGAGGGCAAAACTCAGCCCAGAGGGCACAGCTTTGCCTACGGGAAGAGAAGAAAATGGATCGCTAAGACCTAATTTTATTTCATTTTAATTTTTCTCTCCCTTTTCCCCTCTTTCTTTCCCCTTCCAAGTTTTATTGTTCTGTCCATTCTCCTCTATGCTCTCTATCTCCCTCTCCTTCTTTCTTTTCAAGAACACTTTCCTTCCCCTTCCCCCCAACTTTCATCCCAAGCATTACATCCTCCATTTCGTGTAACTGTCTAAATGCAAATAGGTGAATGTTTCGAGGCCATCTATAGTGCTCCTAAATACCTAGCTACTAACAACACCCTGATCCAATCGACGGTTAGTATCCCCCTTCAGTAGAGCAATCTTCTAAAGTAGCCAAGACATACTAACCCTTATACCTTCATAGCACCTAACCTAAAGTCCTAAGAACAAACAACAAATCACTATATGCATACAAAATCCGGAAGCCCTTTATGAATTGAATGAACCAGCTCTAAAGTACAATAAAGCCCAACATCTCTAGGCATAATCTCCCACCACAAAGGAGAGACAACAGAGATATACAAAGCCAAAACAAATGTATAGGAGAAAGCAGTTACAAAGCAGTCAAACAGAGCTGGAAAGTAACGTGAACAACATGAAAATAACAAGGGAAAAAAGGATTACAGATAATTCAGGACAACTTAAATCTACAGGAGGACCTAGAAGCATCAGAAACATGGACAGGGAAGGAAATCAAGGCATACCTAACTCAGATGGAACGGAATATTAGAGAAGACATGAGACAGCAAGTCCAAGCATTGAAAGTATATTTCGAAAACGAACTAAACAAACAAATTCAAACTGCAAAGAACGAACTTTACCAGGAGATAGAGATCTTAAAAAAAAACCAAACAGTAATTTTAGAAATGCAAGAAACCATAAACCAGATTAAAAACACTAACGAGAATATTACAAATAGACTAGATCAAGTAGAAGTCAGAACATCAGATAATGAAGACAAAGTTTATCAACTTGAAAAGAATATAGTCAACTCAGAAAAGATGCTTAAATCCCACGAGCAATCTATCCAAGAGATATGGGACCTCATAAAAAAACCAAATTTGAGAGTCATTGGGATAGAAGAAGGCACAGAGGTTCAAACCAAAGGAATGGACAACTTATTAAATGAAATAATCCTAGAAAACTTCCCAGAGATGAAAGATGGAATGGATTGCCAAATCCTGGAAGCCTACAGGACCCCAAACATCCAAAACCGTAATAGACCAACTCCAAGACATATAATTATGAAGATAGCCAACATACAGAACAAGGAGAGAATATTAAAAGCTACGAGAGAAAGGAGGCAGATTACATTCAGGGGTAAACCAATTAGGTTAACGGCTGATTTTTCATCACAGACTTTGAAAGCGAGAAGATCCTGGAACAATGTATTTCAAACGCTGAAAAATAATGGATTCCAACCAAGAATACTGTATCCAGCAAAATTAAGCTTCAGATTTGACAATGAAATTAAAATCTTTCAGGATAAACAAAAGCTAAAAGAATTCGCAGCCAGAAAACCAGCACTACAAAGCATTTTGGGCAAAATTCTACAAGAAGAGGAATGGAAAAATAGTGCCCAAAACTAACAGCGGGAGGTATCTCAGTAAAGGGGGAGGAAAATAACCAAAAAGTTAAAAACTAGCCAAACTAAAATAAATAAATAAATAAACATGACTGGAAGTACAAATCATATTTCAGTTGTAACCTTAAATGTTAATGGACTAAACTCACCAATCAAGAGACACAAGCTAGTAACCTGGATCAAAAAAACAAATCCAACAATATGCTGCCTTCAGGAGACTCATATGATAGGAAAAGACATACACAGGCTGAAGGTGAAAGGTTGGGAAAAATCATACCACTCACATGGCCCTCGGAAGCAAGCAGGAGTGGCCATACTCATATCAAATAAAATCAACTTCAAACCTAAGTTAATCAAAAGCTAAAGAAGGACACTATATCCTGTTAAAAGGAACCATCCACCAACAAGACATAACAATTATCAATTTGTATGTACCAAACAATGGTGCAGCAACGTTCATAAAACAAACTCTCCTCAAGTTCAAGAGTCAAATAGAGCACAACACAATAATAATGGGTGACTTCAACACACCGCTCTCGCCATTAGACAGATCCTCCAGACAAAAGCTGAATAAAGAAACTATAGAACTCAATGACACAATCAATAACCTAGACTTAACCGACATATATAGAATATATCAACCATCATCAAGTGGATACACGTTCTTCTCAGCAGCACATGGATCTTACTCAAAGATAGATTATATATTATGCCATAGGGCAACTCTTAGTAAATATAAAGGTGTGGAGATAATACCATGCACCATATCTGATCATAATGGAATGAAACTGGAAATCAATGATAAAAGAAGGAAGGAAAAATCCTGCATCGCATGGAAAATAAACAATATGTTACTGAATGATCAATGGGTTACAGAAGACATAAAGGAGGAAATCAAAAAATTCTTAGAGATAAACGACAATTCAGACACAACATACCGGAATCTATGGGACACAATGAAAGCAGTTTTAAGAGGGAAATTCATTTCCTGGAGTTCATTCCTCAAAAAAAAGAAAAAACCAACAAATAAATGAACTCACACTACATCTCAAAACCCTAGAAAAGGAAGAGCAAAACAACAGCAAATATAGCAGAAGACAAGAAATAATCAAAATCAGAGCGGAAATCAACGAAATTGAAACAAAAAAAAACCATTGAAAAAATTGATAAAACTAAAAGTTGGTTCTTTGAAAAAATAAATAAGATCGACAGACCCTTAGCCATGCTAACGAAGAGAAGAGAGAGAGCTCAAATTACTAACATACGGGATGAAAAAGGCAATATCACAACAGACACTACGGAAATACAGAAGATAATTAGAAAGTATTTTGAAACCCTATATTCTAATAAAATAGAAGACAGTGAAGATATCGATAAATTTCTTAAGTCATATGATTTGCCTAGATTGAGTCAGGAAGACACACACAATTTAAACAGACCAATAACAAAGGAAGAAATAGAAGAAGCCATCAAAAGACTACCAACCAAGAAAAGCCCTGGACCAGATGGGTATACAGCGGAGTTTTACAAAACCTTCCAAGAAGAATTAATACCAATACTTTTCAAGCTATTTCAAGAAATAGAAAAAGAAGGAGATCTTCCAAATTCATTCTATGAGGCCAACATCACCCTGATCCCGAAACCAGACAAAGACACTTCAAAGAAAGAAAACTACAGACCAATATCTCTAATGAACATAGATGCAAAAATTCTCAATAAAATCCTGGCAAATCGAATACAAAAGCATATCAAAAAAATTGTGCACCATGATCAAGTAGAAGTCATCCCTGGGATGCAAGGTTGGTTCAATATACGGAAATCAATAAATGTTATTCACCACATCAATAGACTTAAAGATAAGAACCATATGATCATCTCGATAGATGCAGAAAAAGCATTCGACAAAATACAGCATCCCTTCATGTTCAAAACACTAGAAAAACTAGGGATAACAGGAACATACCTCAACATTGTAAAAGCTATATATGCTAAGCCTCAGGCTAACATCATTCTAAATGGAGAAAAACTGAAGGCATTCCCGCTAAAATCTGGAACAAGACAGGGATGCCCTCTCTCACCACTTCTATTTAATTTAGTCCTTGAAATACTAGCCAGAGCAATTAGACAAAAGAAATTAAAGGCATAAAAATAGGAAAAGAAGAACTTAAAATATCACTATTTGCAGATGACATGATCCTATACCTAGAAGACCCAAAAGGGTCCACAAAGAAACTACTAGAACTAATAAATGAATTCAGCAATGTGCCAGGATATAAAATCAACACGCATAAATCAAAGGCATTCCTGTATATCAGCAACAAAACTTCTGAAATGGAAATGAGAAAAACCACCCCATTCACAATATCCTCAAAAAAAATAAAATACTTGGGAATCAACCTAACAAAAGAGGTGAAAGATTTATACAATGAAAACTACAGAACCCTAAAGAGAGAGATAGAAGAAGATCTTAGAAGATGGAAAAATGTACCCTGTTCATGGATAGGCAGAACCAACATCATCAAAATGGCGATATTACCCAAAGTTCTCTACAGGTTCAACGCAATGCCAATCAAAATCCCAACGGCATTTCTTGTAGAAATAGATAAGGCTATCATGAAATTCATATGGAAAAACAAAAGACCCAGAATAGCAAAAGCATTTCTAAGCAGGAAGTGTGAATCGGGAGGTATAGCGATACCAGATTTCAAACTGTACTACAGAGCAATAGTAACAAAAACAGCATGGTACTGGTACCAAAACAGGCAGGTGGACCAATGGTACAGAATAGAGGACACAGAGACCAATCCACAGAATTACAACTTTCTTATATTTGATAAAGGCGCTAAAAGCCTGCAATGGAGAAAGGATAGCATCTTCAACAAATGGTGCTGGGAAAACTGGAAATCCATATGCAACAAAATGAAGCTGAACCCCTTTCTCTCGCCATGCACAAAAATTAATTCAAAATGGATCAAAGAGTTTGATATCAAATCAGAGACTCTGCGCCTGATAGAAGAAAAAGTTGGCTCCGATCTACATATTGTGGGGTCGGGCTCCAAATTCCTTAATAGGACGCCCATAGCCCAAGAGTTAAATACAAGAATAAACAAATGGGACTTACTCAAACTAAAAAGTTTTTTCTCAGCAAGAGAAACAATAAGAGAGGTAAATAGGGAACCTACATCCTGGGAACAAATTTTTACTCCTCACACTTCAGATAGAGCCCTAATATCCAGAGTATACAAAGAACTCAAGAAATTAAACAATAAGATAAAAAATAACCCAATCAACAAATGGGCCAGAGACCTGAACAGACACTTCTCAGAGGACGACATACAATCAATCAACAAGTACATGAAAAAATGCTCACCATCTCTAGCAGTCAGAGAAATGCAAATCAAAACCACCCTAAGATACCATCTCACTCCAATAAGATTGGCAGCCATTATGAAGTCAAACAACAATAAGTGCTGGCGCGGATGTGGGGAAAAGGGTACACTTGTACATTGCTGGTGGGACTGCAAATTGGTGTGGCCAATATGGAAAGCAGTATGGAGATTCCTGGGAAAGCTGGGAATGGAACCACCATTTGACCCAGTTATCGCCCTTCTCGGTCTATTCCCTGAGGACCTTAAAAGAGCATACTATAGGGATACTGCCACATCAATGATCATAGCAGCACAATTCACAATAGCTAGACTCTGGAATCAACCTAGATGCCCTTCAATAGATGAATGGATTAAAAAAATGTGGCATTTATACACAATGGAGTATTACGCAGCACTAAAAAACGACAAAATCATGGATTTTGCAGGGAAATGGATGGCATTAGAGCAGATTATGCTAAGTGAAGCTAGCCAATCCTTAAAAAACAAATGCCAAATGTCTTCTTTGATATAAAGAGAGCAACTAAGAAAAGAACAGGGAAGAAGAGCATGAGGAAAAGATTAACATTAAACAGAGACTAGTGGGGGGAGAGAAAGGGAGAGAGAAGGGAAACTGTATGGAAATGGAAGGAGACCCTCATTGTTACACAAAATTATATATAAGAGTTTGTGAGGGGAAAGGGAACAAAAAAAAACCAAGGGAGAGAATTAAACAACAGCAGATGGGGTAGAGAGGGAAAACAACCAATAAAAATAAAAATTAAAAAAGGGTTAATAACATTTATAATGTTTTTTAGTTACAAAAGCACAATTTTAATCTCATCTGATCCTTATACTAATCTTGTAAGATGGTAGGACAAGTGTTTTTATTCTTTCTAGTTACTAAATTGGGAAACTAACATTTAAGAAGGTTAAATATTGGGTATCTCCCAACTAGTAAGTGACAATCCTGAATTTAAACCCAGGTATTCTTCTTCTTTGTTCATTAGTCTTCCCGTAACAATAATTCAATCTATGTTGGTTATTTTTATTATTGTACTATAGACAGTTTACCACAAGTAGAATTGGGAGAATTTTTTTTTAACTTTTTTTTTTCTTTTAGTTGTCAATGGACCTTTATTTTATTTATTTATATGTGGTGCTGAGGATCAAACCCAGTGCCTCCCACATGCTAGGCAAATGCTCTACCATTGAGCCACAACCCTAGCCCGGAATTGGGAAAATTTTAAAGATACATAAACTTTCTCACTCAGAGTAAGACTTCGTTTTTTTTTAATTGTTTGTTTGTTTGTTTTTAAATTATTGATGGACCTTTATTTTATTTGCTTATTTATATGTGGTGCTGGGACTCAAACGCAGTACCTCACACGTACAAGGCAAGCGCTCTACCGCTGAGTTACAACTGCAGCCCTAGACTTCAGTTTTTAACCACAAGTTTTCACTTCCTGACAATCGTAATATTTCTGGTCATATCTTTCATTATAACAAAACAAATATAAGTCACTTATTCACACTTGTCCTGTTGTAGGTTCTTACCCATTAGCTTAGGAATCCCCATGACTTGGAAGTTTGAAATGTGTTATACTTGAAAGAAAAGTTTATTTCTTTTAAACATCTGGAATTCTTAGTCAGTGCTTCAGAATAACGTTGGTCTCATGGAGACATTTTTTAGAAATTCCTTCCATATGTAACTTACTGTATGCATGGCTCACTTACATTTGTGCTGAACCCAAGTATAGAGCCTGAGTATTAAAAAATCAGAATAGGGTCTGATTCGTTAAAAATAAAACAAGTAAAGTCTGTCTAAGTTGATTTGCTTCTGTGTTTTCAGTTTTCATGAATCCCAGTTTTTTCCATTCTAGAATCCTTAAGTAGTTGAAGCCAAACTTACTTCCTTCCAAATTTAGTTCTCCATTTGCTAGTGTAACTCTGGAACTGAAATCATCAACAAGTTCTAAATTTTACTCTTTTGATAACAATATTTCAGACATTCGTTTTAAAAAGGGTTTATATTGTTTATTTATAGGTCCAGATTAATTTCTTTTTCATTTAGGAAAAAGAAAAAGTAAAAATCATCCTTGGTTGTATCAACCTGGATTTAACTAGTAATTTTTTTCTAATCTTAGTTTTACTCTATGAATAGGTGGAATTTTTGCATAGTACTAATTATACAGTGGCTTTCTCCATGAACAGTCTTACTGTAAAAAAGTTATTATAAACATTTGTTGAGTACTTGTCACCATTGTGTGGAGGGCTTTAATAGACATAATTTCATCTGTCAGAAAGTACCATTCTGTCTTGAGAAAACTAAGATCAAAGAAGTTGCTATTGGTTCAAGGATACATAACTAATAAATAGAAGAATCAGAATTCAAAACTCAGGTCTTCCAACTATGTGTCCAGGTGGCTTCTGCTACTATATTACATGTGTTGAATTTGTATTATGAGTTATTGTTATGAAAATATTATGTTAACACATTTTTGTAATTTTTATCTGAATTCAAATTATTATTTCAGATATAAGCCTTCCAAAGTCAGCAGCAATCTGTTATACAGCAGCACTGTTGAAAACAAGGACTGTTTCAGATAAGTAAGTAGTTATGAAAACTAATTATTTGATTCATTTTTGTTATTTATTTATTTTCAGTACTAGGGATTGAACCTGGGGCCTTGTGCATACTGGGCAAGTAGAAAACTACAATTATTTGAGAAGAATGCTAATTTCAATATTACGTTTTACCTCTACTGACTTTTAAAACTATGATCTTCCTCTCTGCTTTCTTCTAAATAACCTTTGATCCTTTGTGGCTTTGAGGCTTCTCACTTTGGGTAGTGGAGAGAGATTTTTAGAGCTAAATAAACTGAGACTTAAATTTAAACTTTATAATATACTAGCTGTAGGATTTTTGCTAGGTTAATTATTTTGAGTCTTTTCCTCATCTGTAAAATGAGAATAGTACTGTAGGGTGGTTGTATGAGGATTACGTAATTATGGAGTGCCTAAACCAGTATCTAGAAAGAAAGTACAGATAAATAATAGCTTTAATAAGTAAGCAGTATGATAGATAAATAGGTTTCATGTTGTCTGTTCTTATATTAGGATTGTGTTATTCTGTTTTCCTTGTGTTTTTGACTGCTCTTAGTGAATTTTCTTTATTCTGCAGGTAAGATATTCAGAAACTGGTTGGGTACAGTGTCTCAAAAAAAGAAAATCAGAGACTAATCAAATGGTGGCCATTGTTTTTCACTTTGTATTACTATGCCTTGATATTAATTAGAATGAAGTATTATAGTTTATTTCTTCTCAGATAAAAAATTTGATATGAATATACTTATATTTCATGAGATTCTCTGGATGTCCCTGTGTAGAATTTCTTACCTTTCCCTAGTGTGCCTTCAATGAACTTCTGAATGCTTTCTCTACCTAAGTTTGAAAATTTTCATTCCTTATGCTTTCTTGTTTTTTATATTTTGAACGAGAAGGCTTTAACTATCATTCTTAGTAGTTATCTGGTTTTGAATTTAGTCATTTCCAGAATCCTTTGATTTAGAGAACTATATTATGGTCTAAATCCATAATTTTTTTCTTTTGTTATTCATTTCTTCATTTTGTGTTTTTTTCTTACAGATTCTCTCCAGAAACAGCCTCCAGAAGAGGATTAAGCACAGCAGAAATTAATGCTGTGGAAGCAATTCATAGAGCTGTGGAATTTAATCCTCATGTTCCAAAAGTGAGAAATTTTATAGTGAAAATCGTATCTTTATTTAATTTTATTTAATTGATAATAGTATATAAACCAAAGTTTGGGTTGCCATGATTTGAGTCAGAATTGTTTTAGACTCTGATGTTTTCATGCTTACTATTCATCTTAAAGGAGATGTTAAAAGGCATTTAGAAAGGTGTGTAGGAGCAATAGTTCACTATAGGTTTTGTAATTGCTGCCAAAACAAAAACAAAATTTGAACTATGTTCACTTAGCTGTTCTTTTTTTGGTGGTACTGGATATTCAACACATGGCCTTCTGTACATGCTGGGAAGCACTCTGCCACTGAGCAACACTTCAGTCCTAGTTAGCTGTCTTTTTATTACAGTTTTAGAGAAGAAATAATCAACAGCTTGGTCTCAATAAAAGACCATTTCAATTTCAGGTCACTAAATTAAAATTTTGTTACTAGAAAGGCTTTTTCTAGACAAATGTCTGGATTTTGAACTAGGACTGAATACACAAAAACTGGGGACAAATAGATTAAAATAATCAGTGATAGAAAACAGATGTGGAAGTTCCCAGGAAAACTGTTGAGTTGATGTTTATTTGGTTTCCAGATGAAACTACCTGCTTTGTATGCCTTTATAATATACATCTTGCAATTATTAGAAATCACTGGTTAATTTTAGTGTGTTATCATCCCAGAAACCAAGATTAAAATTTGAGTTTACAAACAGTGCCCCCATGTGAAAAAAATATAGAATATTCAAGAATTGATGCTCTTTCTACAAATTGTAATTATAGCTATTGATTCTGGTATAGTATGTGTTAATGGAACTTGGAAGCTAGTGGACAGTAAAGAGATTAAGTTCTAAAAGAGAGTATCCAAGAAGAGGAAGTTACAAACCTCTTAGAGTACGTAAAGATACATAGTCAAGAAAATTACTTAATCTAGGGCTGGGGTTGAGGCTCAGTGGTAGAGTGCTTGCCTAGTGTGAGTCCCTAGGTTTTATCTCGAGCACTGAAAGAAAAGTTTATTAATGAAAGTCAACAGATGTTTGTTTATACCATTCTTTTATTAAGTAACATTGGTTCCATAAATTTAAATTAAATTTTTATTACAAATTATATTGTACCTGCATATAGACAGAAATGTGCATTTTAATGATTCATTATAAAGCGAATGCTTGGAAACCACCACTGAGGTCAGAAAACATAACATAGTCAGCTCCCAGAAGCTCCCCCCCACTGACTGCCCTTTCCCAATTATAACTTCTACTCTTTTATCTAAAAGTAACCACTGTTCTGACTTTAATTATGTTTAGTTACTCCTTTTCTTCATATTTTTGATCTATACTTTCCTCTTATTGCTGATTTTATAAATGAGTTATTAAACAGTTTGCTTATCTCTTTATTCTCTGGAACAATTTATACATAATTAGAATTATTTCTGCCATAAATTATTAGTAAAATTGTTGATAAAGACATGATTTTGGAGTTTTCTTTGTGAAAAGCTTTGAATTATGAATTTCATTTCATTAGTTTAATAATTTAATTACAAATATAATTTTTAATAATCGTCTCATAACTATGGAAATATTTTGTTCTTGTGTTGGCTTTTTTATAAGTGGTATATTTCTTCTTTTTTTGAAGGTATAAACATAGACACTTTTTTTTTAATTGGTGCATTATAGTTGTACATAATGGTGGGATTTGTTGGTAAGTTGTATATTTTTAAGAATTATTTCATTACACTTCTCAAAATCACTGGCATAAAGTCATAAAATCCTTTTATTACATTGCATCCTTCTTAAACATCCTTTTTTTTTGTTATTTTTAACTTTTTATTTACTTATTTGTTTATTTTTGCAGTGCTGGGGCTTGAACCCAGGACCTTGCATGTACTAGGCAAACACTCTGCCACTGAGCTACATCTCTAGCCCCACTTTTTTTTTTTTGAATACTGAGGATTAAACACAGGGTTTCATACATGTTAGGCAAGCACTCTTATCACTGAGTTACATCCCCAGCTCCCCAACTTTTTAAACAAATTTTGTTTCAGAAACAGTCTTAGGCTGACCTCAAACTTAGGCCTCTCCATCTTAGCCTCCTGAGTAGCTGGAATTACAGACGTGCCCCAGCATAATATCCATTTTTTAAATGTATAACATGGCTACTCTTTTTCCCTTGCTCAGATACCCCAGGGGTCTATGTTATTAATTTTTGCAAAGAACCAAACTCTGGCTTACTTTGGCTTTTTAAATCCTTCTATCATCTGATTTCTGGTTGATTCATTTCTGTTCTTTATTGCCTTCATTTAACTTTTTGGGCTTATTTCATTTTTTTTTCCTGAATTTTTTTGTATAGGTACTTAATTAACTCCTGAATTTTCAGTATGCTTTCTTTGTAATATATCCAGTTAAGTCCAGAAACTTCTAGGCACAATTTTAATTGTATAAAATAGCAATATTTTTTATAGAATTTAGTTCAAAATATTTTCCAATTTCTATTATGACTTCTTTGGTTTAGAGTTGTATCTATCCCATCTAGTGATTTTTTTTGTGTGTGTGTGTTTATGCGTTTGTGTGCTCATGTGCTAGGGATTGAACCCAGGACCTAGCACATGTTGAACACATATTCTACCACTGAACTATACCCCCAGCCCAAGATTTATTTCTTAATTTCCAAAAATACAGACTGTCTTTTTATTAATTATTTTTATCATAATTGCATTGTGATCAGAAAATATATACTATATGATTTTACTCCTTTGAAACATTTATCAGTTCTTGAATTTCCACTTATTTTTCATATCTCTTGTATCACTTATTTTCTATATAATTTTTTATCTCTTTGAAAATAGTTTAAGATAGTTATTTGAAAGTCTTTTCTCTGACAATCCAAATATCTGGAACTATGACGTATCCATTTCTATGATCTATTTTTTCTCTTGCATAAAATTTATGTTGTCTTGTTTTGTGCCTAGTTTTCTTTGACTATGTGTCAAATACTTTGTTTGAAAAATTGTAAAAATAGGCCGTAACCTTGGATAAGACTCTCTTCCAGATAGGATTTTCTTTGCTCTTCAATGCCTAGATGATTCATGAGAGGCTAGGATCACTTTAATCACCTTAAATTCACAGGATTAATATTTTCTGGACCACCAAGATGACTTGGAACAGTTTTAGTCAGTGAAAGTTGTATTTTATTTCTTGTTCACTCTTACCCCTAGGATGCAACCTTTAAGGGGCCCAGTTTTACCAGGGCTTTACTAGGGCTTCCCTCAGCTTTATAAAACTGCCCAAAAGACTGAATATAGCCTCCTAGTCATTTCATATAGAATCAGCAGGTCTGCCACAGTAAAAGAAACCCAAATGTGACTGATTTCTCTGGACTTCGGTCTTTGGACTGTGGACTGTTAATTCTTTGCCATTTATTTGTTCTCTGATGTATTCATTTAGATTTTTAAAAATATTTTATTTAGCTTTTTTTTTTTTTTAGAAATCATTATTTTCTAACTTTATTTATTTATTTATGTGGTGCTGAGGATTGAACCCAGGCCCTTGCACGTGTGAGGCTAGCGCTCTACAGCTGAGCCGTAACTCCAGCCCCATTATTTAGCTTTTCTACTTCTCTGGGAGAGTTGATCTGAATTACCCAATTTCTCATTACTGGAAGCAGAAATCTGCAAATACTTTTTAATGAAATCCTCTATTCTCTCATGGTACAGAAAGGTTAAGAGAATGAATTCTATAATCATACTGCTAATGGTCTGAATTCTAGTTCTACTATCTTTAAGCTGTATGACTTTGGATGACTTATTTAACTTCTCTGGATTTGATTTTCCTCTTGTAAAATGAAGATAATATTCACTACCAATAGGGTTGTTATAAAGACTAAAGGAATTCATAGTTTTAAAGTTCTTAAAAGAGTACCTGACACATAGAAAGCATTATAGAAGTGATTTGTTATTACTGATATTATCCAGGGTGAGTTTATAATCTGTTGTTTACTTGAGAAGGTAAGCAACAATTATTGTCCAGAACTCTTTAAATACACCATTAAGATGTCTAAAAGTTTGTATTTAACTTTCTCTGTAATAACGGTATGAACTATCTGCTTCCTATGGTTATGCTTCTCAGACTGTCTCATGCAGAATGTACTCTCAGCAATAATATTTATGATGTGCATTGATTTTCAAAACTACTATTGGGGGAACACTAGTGGAAGCAATACCAGGTGTTATCCTAATTATAAAATTAAATGGTTGAATAGGTAATATGTATTAACATTCAGATTAAACCTGCTTTAAAAAAACAATCTGGATTGCTGCTGGGTATGGTGGCACATGCCTGTAATCCCAGTAATCCCAGTTCCTCGGAAGATTAAGGCAAAAGTATCTCAAGTTGGAGGCCAACCTTAACAACTTAGTGAGACCCTGTCTAAAAATTTATTTAGTTAGTTTTTGGTCATATAATCAGAGTTTATTATATAATAAAAACTTACCAAGCTCGTGATCCAGCAAATTATTTTTTATTTACCTAAAACTTCTCTGGAAAAAAAAAGTTTACTTAAATCATTACATATCATTTTTATGTGAACTATAGGTTCTGCATGTCATTTCTATGTTAGTTTATTTGAAACACATATGTACTCTGTTTAGATATAAATATACACTTAATATTAATAACATTAATTAATATAGAAGATTTAAAATATCTTTATTGTCTGTCTCAAAATTTAAAAAAGCAAAAATGAGAAAGGAGGCTGGGGTTGTAGCTCAGTGCTAGAGCACCTCTGAGTTCAGTTCCTAGCACTGTGATAAGCAAAAAACAAAACAATCTAGAATGCTTTTAGAGACATATATTTTTTTAGTTTATACACACACAGAAACTCTGTGAAACAATTCAGAGAGAAACTAAAGAAGACCTAAATAAAATGATATATGTATATATATTTATATATTGGAAGAGTACAGCTCTCCAATTGTTAAGAGTACAGCTCTCCCCAAATTGATCTATAAC